ATAGATATTATGATTTCTAACTATATATATTTAAAATTAATAATAATAATAATAATAATAATAATAAAAGTTTTAATTTTTTATTAATTATTTATTTTTATAAAATATATATTAGTTTATATTTTAAAAATTATAAAAATAAATATAAATTAATTAATTTAAATAAAGAGATTTATTTTTAATTAATTAAATATATTTAATAAATTTTAAATAAAAATAAACTTTTAAATCAAAATAAATATTTTAAAAATTTAAATAAAGATTTTATTTTTTAATTTTATAAATTATATATAATTATTAAAATTAATTATTAAAGTTTAAATATAAAAATATAAATTAACTTTATTAATAAATATTTTTATTAATAAATTTTTATAAAAAGAAAAAATATATATATTTAAAAAATATTAAAAATTAATAATAACTTTTTAAATAATACATTTTAAAAATAAGTTATATTGAATAAAAATATAAAATTTTTAATATTTAATTTTTAAAATTTAAAAAATATTTATATTAGTTTATATATTGATTTTTAAATATTTAAACTTAAAAAATAATATAAAAAATTAAATATTGAAAAAAAATTAATATATAAAATATAAAATAAAATATAAAAAAACTTTTTTATAATATAATTAAAATTTAAATATAATTATTTTAATAAATTTTATTTATAAACTATTTATTATATATTAATATTAAAAAAATTAAAATAAATATTTTATTAATAAATTAAATATTTACTTTTTCTTTTTAAAATTGAACTAAAATTAAAATTGTAATTAATAATATAAAAAATAAAAATTATATTTAGAAAATAATTTAAAATTTAAAATTTTTTATTTAATATATACTATTAATAAATATTAATATTTAAAAATTATTTTACTTTAAGTAATATTTTTATATATTATTATTTTTTATTATTAGTTTATTATTAAATTTTAATATTATTAAGATTTTTTATAAAGTTTTATTAAATTAAATATATATATAATTATAATTTTTATAATATATCTATTTAAATACTATATATTTAAAATAAAATTATATAATTATATATTATAAATTATATAATATATTAAATTTTAAAATAATTAAATAAATATTATAGCTTCTTAATTATATATTTTAAATAAATAATAATAAGAATAATAATAAAAAATTTATATTTTATTTTAATAATTATATTTTAATGTTAATTAATAAGTTTTTAATAAAATAGTTAATTTATATTTAATATTAATATGAATAAAATTTAGATCAGCAAAAAAATAGATAATTAAATAAATTAAATATTAACTGCATATAACATGTTAAAATACATTACTTTGCTTGAAAGTTTAAATGTTAAGCAAAATTTCATAAATTGATATAATTAGTAAATTTCAACACAAAATCCTTAGTTAATTAAAGTTTACACATTTCCATCAATACAGTCAAAGAGTGAATCAAAAAGTACCTAAATTACTTGATCAGAAGCTGCAAATTAGTTAAACAGGATTGAAAGAAGTGCTAATTTGGAAACTAAACCTATGGATGTGGGGGAATAACCAGTCGTGTTATTTACTGCGCTCAAGTTTGAGATTGGATGACAAAGTAAAAAGGAAGTCTCAAAATTGAGTGACTATATAAAGGAAACATTGGAAGCGAAAAGAAAAAGCACAACACAGAGATGACAAACAACTCTTCCTTCCAGCAGATCTTCTCATCCTATTATTTGAACACCCTAAAGATGTTTTAGATCTCAATCTTTCCACCCACCACATCATCCTTGGACAATAACATAAAGCACTGTATATGTACCGAAACCTTGTGACATTGGAAAATATGTCAAATAGTTGAAAGTCCATACAAAAAATTCAAAAATGCAGACAGACAGAGAAGAGGAGAGAGAAGAGGAGAGATAATCTTTTCTCAATAATGTATGTATTTCCTTATTTCACAAAAATCATTGTGCATTCCATCCATCATCACATTGCATTCCCATGCAAAATGGCCAAGTTCATTGCTCTATCATTTCAATCCATCCTATATCACACCACAAACCCACAAAACAAGAGCAAAAGGAGAAGAGAAAAATAAAAATAAAGGAAAAGAAGAGAAGAGAAAATTTTCTCCCTATATCATCCAATCCAACCCATTCGCCTCCTCCTCCACCGGGAAAACCTCCCTAGCATACTCCTCCATATCCCTCCACCCCTCCCACAAACTCCTCGCCCCATCCACCAAGCCCAGCGACTTAATTCCACCATAGGGTTCCGCAGGCCCTTTACCCGTCTGCTCACCAACACCAACATCAACACTCGTCCCGTCGGCTCCATCCCCATTCCCCTTGCCCATAACCGGCGGTGACTCCTCCATAAACTCCGGCAGCGGGAAATAGGGCGCATTCATCTGGCCGAAGAGCACCTCTATGCCTTCCAGGTGCTCGCGGTAGCCAGCGGGAATGGAGACTTTTATGTCGATTTTGGGGGAGTGGACGTATCTGCAAGGCCGGCGGAGGGCGCGGGAGAAGGCGGCGCAGACTTGGTTTGGGGTTAGAGTTTCGAAGGAGAGGGCGATTCTGGATGGGGGGGTTAGTGATTTGGATTTTTTTTAGGTTTGGGTTCGGGGGTTGGTATTTGTGGTAAAGTTTTTGTTTTTCTGGTTTGGGAAGGATACGGGGATCAAATGATTTTGGAATAATTTATACATACCGACGTCCACCCCATTTCTTCGGTCCGTCTTTGAAAATCTGCAGCACGGCCGGACCAACGTCGTGCTCTGCATCTAGCCAGGGGAGAGGTATATCTGGGTGAAAGGGCGCGCGCCATTCGAACGAGCCATTCTCCAACAGTTCCATCTGGAAGAGTGGATATGGCAAGCTCGTGAAGTTATTGTTGTAAATACCCGCATAGACAAATGTGGCCGGCAGTCCCAATTGGCGCACATAGTTCTCAACAGCAAACTTGCAACTCCACAGCGGCAGCGAAATCCAACTCTGCGAATGATTCCCATCCCCGTTGTTTCCATACGCATGTGCCGCATGATCCGGCATAGAACTATACACATAATGTGTCACGGAGCCCGCGCGCAACGCCGCATCCGCCAACGCACGACCAATCGCCACCTCATCGCCGGCCTGCGACGTGGTATTTATAAAGGCCAAATTCGCCCCTTCGAACAGGGTGGCTATGAGTTTGTCGTTGTTTAGCAGGGGGCCCTGGAAGAGGGAGACGTTGGGGAGGGCGGCGAGTTCGGAGGCGATGATGCCTTCGAGGGAGTGGATTTGGGCGCGGACGTGGTAGCCGACGGCTGAAGCGACACGGATCAGAGAGGCGGCTTGGCGGCCCGAGGCGTTGACGATTGCGATTGTTGTGGGTTGGGGCATGTGGATTGATTTGGGAGGGTGTGTGTGTGGATTTGGGGGGCGGGGAGAGGGGAATGGAAATACAAGGGGAATTGGGATAATGGAGACACACACCACACACACACCGGGGCTCTACGAGCGGGAGGAGAAGGGAAGCTTCATCAATCACGGGATGTTGCGTGCGAGGGACACGTAGAGACGGGTAAGAGGAGAGTGTAAGTGTAAAAGGGGGTGGGAAAGGGGAGGGGATGATGTGGGATGAATATCAGAGGTGTGAGGCTGAGGGCTTCCGGTTCGGAGAGAAAGCGATTGTCGTCCTGGCTAGGATATCTTGGTAGTTAACTAATCTTCAACCACGAGAAGGAAAGACGAGGAATTAGAGAGTATAGAGGGATACAAGGAGAATAAGAAATGAAGTGAAATAAGGAAAAAGATGAAAAATGGCGGAGAAGATATAAAAGTGTTAGCTGGGAAATTTTGGACTGGTCCCGTGCTGATATGCTGCTGTTCTTCTTTTTTGTAATTGAAGAAGCAGCAGCAGCAGCTAGTAGAAGAAGTAGTAGTAGTAGTAGTAGTAGAAGAAGAAGAAGAAGAAGAAGTAGACGAACAAAGAGAACTGCGGACGGAAAACGCGGGGAAGCTTTGATTGAACGGCGACTAGAATTGATTCGAGAACCGAGAGTGGGTGAGAGAGAGAGAGAGAGAGCAAAGAGTCTGCCACCGAGTATGCAGAGGGGTGAGGAGTTAGGAGGAGTAAGTTTGATAGGGATATACGGCTGCAGGCTGTGGAGATGGGGGAAGAATGGCCGTATAAGCTATCGGGCAGTTATCTGATGGCGACTGTGACCGTGATATTTATACGGGGCATCTTCTTTTCATATTTCTCATGCCACGGCGTATATTTTCATCCCTTTAGTTCAAGCCCAGCCGAGTTGGCCTTACTGCTTCTCTCTTCGACCCAGCGGGGCGGGAGGAGAGCTTCCATACTCAAATCATCCATGGATACATCTGGGTACATCAGGATTTACAGTCTGGATTACACTCCGGGATCCCTCCCTCTCACGTCTTTGATGTAGAGGCGAAATTCTGTAGTCAGAGATAGGACCTGTTGTTACTGGGCAACGGGAACAGGAGCAACAGCGAGTCTCAGGGCAGAGGGACGTCTGCAGACAAGAAGACAAAAAAAAAAAAAACCTCCCGGCACAGACACACAGATAACCAACCACCGTTATTAGTCCTGTGTGATTGTCCTCGATAAAATAAGCTAACATGGGGCAACAAATGAAAAAGAAGAGATTTAAAAAAAAAAAAAATAAAAAAAAAAAAAGAGGAAGAGAGTGAATTTGCCGGCACAACGGCACTTGAACCGCCTTTAGATTAAATACACCCTATTGAACCAACCATGTCTGCCGTGGCCACCGGCTATGAGGAAAGCTGCAGGACGCCTCTCGCTATGATACGTCAATTTCACCGCAAAGACGCAGTCATCTGCGGGACTCTGTCGGGTGGGGATTGGTTTCGGAAGACCGAAGATTTCCCAAGGCTGCGGTTGGTTCGCTTTCTCCAAGGTGCCCGCTGTTGACGGGATCCATAACTAATTACCCCGCAACAAGTTGAGATAATCAGCTACCAAGCTGTTAAGTTATCTATGCATTGAAGGTCGTTAAGTTAATCACAGCCTGCGAGGAGATAGATAAGCTGGGGGGCCAATTTGAGCATTATGAGCATGGTTTGGAGATGCTTCACATATCGCAGTTTTCTGTCGTCCGAGCAAATCCCCCCCCCTCTTTATAATGGACTGTTGTTGTGGATTTCAATTGGATTCCACCCGTGACGTGAATGCAGTTAACTTGTGTCTGTACCTGTCCCTGTCTGTGTTCCTCACTGTGGAGGTCATGCGGCGCATATTCTTTTTATTTACTTATTTATTTTATTTAGTCTTTGTATGCAACCAGACCTTTTGTGGATTGTGAATTGGTTGGGTTGGGGATATTTTTAGAGTCCAACGGCCATTGGAACCAGATAACTAATACGCAAATTCGATCTGATAGGAGGAAAACCCGGGCAACTTGTCATTTCACCTTCAAGGGCTCAGGAAACTTGGGATATGTTTCCTTGGTTGCGTCCCAGTTTCAAGGAGCAGAAGACCCTAATTTTGCTATATCTGCGTTGTTGCGTATATTAGTTAATGGCTGAGTTGCTGGGTTCATACCAAACTATTATTATTATTATTATTACTACTCTTGAAAAGCTGAATGAATAACTAGTTACTCAGCTTCGTTGATTCTCCCTGTAACCGCTTCTCATCTTATCTCATCGTTAAACCCACCAACTTCAAACACACTTACATAAGAAAGAGAGAATCAATCCTCTACCTTAATAACCACCTTTCCGAAATGCTTCTGGTCCCACTGATACTGATACGCGTCCCTCGCCTCCTCAAACCCAAACACCTTCTCATCAACCACTGGTTGTATGTTATTCACCTCAATCGCCCTCACCATGTCCTTCATCTGCTGCCGTGAACCAACCAGTATTCCCCTCACCGTGCAAACCTCAACCAACGGATCCAAAATGCTCGGCTCCTTCTTGCCCCCCTTGCCCCCCGCCCCCCCCAAAAAACCAATAATCGTAATAACCCCCTCCTTCCTAACGGCCTTGAGACTCTGTGCCATAGTCCCTGGGCCCCCGACCTCTACAACATGATCCACCCCACGCCCACCAGGCGTATGCGACTTGGCAACCTCCCCCCACTCCGGCGTAGTCTTATAATTAATAACCTGCTGCACGCCCATCCTCATCAACCTCTCCATCTTCTCCGTCGATGACGTCGTCGCAATCACCATCGCCCCCGCCGCAACCGCAAACTGCACCGCCGCCAAACTCACCCCCCCGGTTCCCTGCGTCAGCACCACATCCCCCGCCTTCAGCGGCAGCAGCCCGTACAGCGCATTCCAGGCCGTCAGCGGCGCGCAGCTGAGCGTACTCGCCTCGATCGGGCTCAGGTTGGCCGGCGCCCGCACGAGGCCGTATTCGGGAAGCACGGCGTATTTGCGCAGGGTGCCGTCGATCACGCCGCCCAGGCCGGAGTTCATGGACTCCGGGGTTATGGGGTTTGCTTGGTGGGTTTGGTTGAAGAGGGTGCAGATGCGGTCGCCGCGGCGCCACTGGGTGACGCGCGGGCCTGTGGCGAGGATTATGCCGGCACCATCGGAGCAGGGCACGCGCGGGAGGCTGAGGGGGAACGGGTAGAGGCCCTGTAGGGTGTTTAATTTTTTTTTTTTTTTTTGGTTTGGGTTTTGGTTAGTTGGTTGGTTGTTGTGTTTGCTAATGCAGTGGGCGGACTTGGGGATGGGAGAGGTAATTTTTCACCTTTGGGATGATGAGATCGCGGTAGTTGAGGGAGACGGCCTGAATTTGGATGAGGCAGTCATAATCTCCCAGCTCGGGGATGGGCACATCTCGTTGGATTATCAGGCTCTCGAAGCCCTTGGAGCCGTCAACGATCCAGGAGTCGGTTTTCAGGGGTCGGGACATGTTTGGTTTCAAATTTCAGTTTCTGATGACCAATTGAGGGTGGATATGTTTGGCAATCTCAAATTTTGAATTGATGCGCCAAAGCCCGCTGAGATCTCTAGGGAGGAAGCGAGAGGACAAATGAAGAAGGATCTTTGAAGCTGATGACTCCTTGCTGCGTTGAAGTTCGTGACAAAAAACAGCCGCTGCGGGGGCAACCGTCGAGCGGGTCATGATGTCATGAAGGAGTCGGGTAGTGCGGATATTCCTCCCGTGGTAATTCACGCCATCAGAAGAAAATCCGCTATTGTCGTTTTGTGACGAACTTCCGGATGAGTGATAGCAGGATTCTCTCGATACTTCACACAGCTCGCATACTGCTAGCAGGGTGCAAAAGAGGAGCTGCAAGGAGAGAGAGGGCCAGCTCTGTTCCCGGCAAAAAAACCAACGCACCACTGATGCATTTTATCGATTTGATATTAATAATTGCAGAGTTACTTTGCTCTTGTGGTTGCTGCACTGATTGAAAGAAGTTTATGTACGCTGTGGACATGGTCGTCAAAGACTTGTTGAGTGATTGACACACTGTAATTCTTGCAAACATTTGGTCAATGCAGAATTCAAAGGTTGATGTAGTGACCCTCTGCGCTATACCACCAAGGATGTAAACTACATGTACCTATATATAGTTGCAATAGCAATATCTAGTAATAACACGTAAAACGAGGCATGTATTCTTGGAACACGCTCCTTGGTTCGAAGACCGATTTGAAAAGAACCGCTTCCCTTCCCAGATGCTACAGTTTTAGGAGTCTCAAACAGAAGAGGCTTTCTATATCTAAATTATTGTTTATATTACCTGATATGCTGCAAAGAATGTTGTTCTTGTTTCTCACTCTGCTGTGTTGCTATTAGTGGTTGCTCACTGCAACCCCGCATGATGGAACTCCCGAGCCTCCAAGGCTGTCACATCAAAATCTTTACAGATTTCATTTTTCATTTTTATTTTCTTTCCTTCTTCATTTCTACGGGAAATGATTACTTGCCTTCGGTGTATCTTGACATGGCAAGGAACTGAGGTGTATATTTCTATTCAATTTACAAAGAAATTCCTTGGGAGGCCATGAAAAAACCCTTGGTTAAAAATGGCAGATAGCCTCACACGCACAAGGATCCCATCATAACTTCAGCGTGGAGTAATTTTATTCCGGCTTGCTGGCACCCATATCAGAATATATGACCCGGGAGAGTGGTTAAGCAGCACAGGGAAGCAGAATATAACTTCCAGTTTGAGAGGGAGTGCTAGGCAGACTTGAGGAGTAGTTACAAGCTTAACTACTTACTGCCTTGCCAACTAGAAAATAAGAACTTGATGCTGCTTTGAACCCATGAACACGCCAACCGCGGTTGGTTGGTTACTGACCCACCCGAGAAGGGAGAACTTCTAAAATCCTACGTCTGAATATGATCATGTATTTATTGTCTCAGGGGGAAATTTCAGATCTCACCGCAAGAAGAGATATTTTTTAAAATGGTAGCTATTATGGTTAATCATTGCAAATTTCTATTCATCTAGGCGGAATTTTTGCCAACATCTATGAAACGCAGCTCTAGTTCTGCTAGTATTTAGCTCTTTTCCTGAAAGACAAGGAAATGGTAAAACTGCAAGGTATATATATATATATATATATATATATATATCAGAGAAGAAACCGCTGTGAAACAATTCAACATTCATCCCTCATTCCTCAAAGAAAATTTTTCAGGGGGAAGAGAAGCCTTTCTTGCTCTTTGAAGCCTACGTTTAAATCAATCCACATTTTCCTCCGCCTTCTCTTCCACTTCAACGCCCGCTAGCGACCATACACTCATACCCGTGCCCATGCCTGCCCGCCGTCTCGCATGCAACTTCGCCACACCTAACTCATCAGCATGCAAATGGGCTCCGGATTCCCGCAGCAGCTTGACATGATCAGGCAACCCCGCGTTTGCGGCGAGGAATAGAGCCGTTCGGCCGGCGCGGTTTCGTAAATGGACAGATCCGCCATGGAGGAGGAAGTGTCGTAGAATGGCGAGGTTGGGAGAGGTGGCCGCGAGATGCTGTGTTGTTTTGGAAAAATTTAGATTGAGGGTACCAGTTAGATATATATTTCATTTATAGCAGGGTGGGATTGTGGTGGGGACAGAAGGTGATGATTAAAACAATTCTCTTCTTTCTCTTGGGCTCTTTTGTATCCACGATATCCCTGATAATAGCACAAAGGGGAGATACAAGGGAAGTAAGGACGAGGAAGCTTTTGATAATTACCAATGGAGTATTCCCCAAATAATCTGCATCGTTCAAAATCCACTGTTTCTCCCCGCGCAGGATGTCTTTCACCTTGTCAAGATCTCCCTGAGCAATCGCATAGGCTACGGCAGTTAGGCTCTTAACTCGTTCCCGAAGCACACCGTCCGGATGTCGGAATATGATCTGTGATTGCTCAGTGAGTTCCCCACGGAGGGAAATGGACATGTCTCGTGCGACGGTCTCAGGCGTCGCCCCGGGAAGTGCAAGAAGGTAGGCAAGTTTGGTCAACGCAGCTTCGTTGGTCATATCTTGGCCCGCGACGACTCCGGCGCGGTAAAGGTTCATTCCCGGGGCATAAACGGGGCTGACTCCGCCGGACAGACCTGTTGGCAATGGTGAGTTAATTGGGTCCTTCAAAAGAAGAGCCTGAGAATGAGGGTAGAATGAAAATAATATACATTGTGTAACATTCACAATCACAATCCCTCGCAGAATCGCAGCGGCCAGTACATTCGTCATTGCATTGTCCTGCCCACCAGGTGCATTTCCTGCTCCAAACGTCTCTAACACGAGGCCCCTCAACCCTTCCAATCTCAACACCGCATCCACCATCTCCGGTTTGATTCCAGGGAAGATTCTCAAACACGCCACATGCGTCGTATCCAGGTTCGTTTGGATGCTAAAATGCTCAATGTTTGTCGGCCTTAAAACAAGATCCCATGCGACGTTCGTACCCATCGCCGTAGTGATAGCCAGCGGCAGGAAATTGGGTGAATCAAAAGCCGCAAATGAGTTTGCAGATACCTTCGTTGCCCGGTTTCCCCGTAGTAGTTTGTAGTTGAAATATAAGCAGACTTCCGGTATCATGAAGTGGCCCGCGATCACCAAGGAGCCGAGTAGATTGTCTGTTGCATCGCTCTGCAGCTCCAGCATTGGTGCTTGGGAACCGGTCAATATAACTGGCTTGCCTAGGTTGCGCAGCATGAAGCTCAGCGCAGAACATGTGTAAGCCAAACTGTCGGTACCATGCAGGACGACGAAGGCATCGAACATTGTGTAGTTCCACGAAATGGTGTGGGCGATTTCTGCCCACCCCTTTGCGTCGATGGAGCTGCTGTCGAGCAGCTGTTCAAATTCGAAGACTGTGTAGCGGATATGACCGCCGTAGGATGTGAGGGGAGTGCGGAGGCTAGCATAGGGCTTCCGTTCGCCAGAAGCATTTACGGTGACGTCGAGGGGTTTCGGGTTAGAGTTGTCATTGAAGGTTGGAAAGGGTTCCAAGGCGGCCTTTTGAAAGCCGTGAGCTGGAATGAAGCCGGAATCTGAACGCTGCATGCATATCGTCCCGCCGGTCATGATTATCAAGACCCGGGATTCTGGGCGGAGTGGCAGACCCTGTCCATTTTGCATTGGTTGCACTGTTCCTGTCATGGGCGATAAAACGATGTAAGAAGCGCGTCATTCGCGAACTGGTGGGAGACGATGAACCCCAATTTCTCCGCCCCGGGTATACGTGTGCCCGCCCGAGTCTGCAAGGTGAATGAAGTGACACCCGATCTTCCTTGCCTCAAAGTTATCAGATAATAATGAACTCTGCAAAGTTCTTCAGTTGTGCGGTTACCACCTACGTTCAATATCAGATCAAATCTAATCTCGTACCCTCGAGATGAACAAGCACGGAAAAGCCGACGGCAATGGGATGGAGGTTATATACGGTACAGCATGGACGCCAATTCTTGCTGCCTGTAATCTTGATTCGGAATCCGGGATGTAGTTATCTATACAGTGTGAAGGGGTTTGGATCGGAGGAATAGCAAAATTTATGTTCTCATTTTGTTCAGCGTTATAGAGTAGGCGGAGAACGTATACAATAGTTACTTATATACCACAGAGAGTATCAACAAACGCACGAACGCGAAGACAAGCAGAAACATCCGGGTTAAGTTTCTGGTACCTGCAACAGGAGAGCGGCAACTAGACAGTTGCATGGACCCGACAATGATCCAAAGTACTGCAGACAACACTCATCCAAAGATGAACAAATTTCGCTAGGTGCGCATCGAGGCGGATATTACGAAGAACCTATAGGGAAAATGGGATGGATATACGCGACAAGAATAAATTTCATAGATGTCCGCGTCAGAAATGGTTCTTGATATTTTTTTCATCCAAGGACTTTTCAATTCGGTGTTCCTTTGCCGGCGCTAGTTACTTACCCATGGTTTGGCTACAGCATCGGTTTAACTCAATCCCCTCTAATTACTCCTCGATCCACCCGACCCTGGAATCCCTGCTTTTACCCAGATTTCGCATCTACATTGGTCGGTAACCTAATCAGGGGATGACTTATAATTACTGTGGGTCTCCCTGGCTCACCCGCCAAGGCTCCTAACGTGACCCAGCATGGGGGGGGGGTCTCGGGCCGTCTCCTCAAACATTCCTTAAAGACGTGCTACATATATTATATCGGTAAGCGCTTCAATGTCTCGGTCTGCAGGATCAATATTGGCGATGCGTAGGGCAAAGAGATGATGGAGAGGGATGCGTCTATATTTTTATAATATGCTAACTACAAGCAGAACGATCCTTGACGATAAGGATACGGATATTCATTCCATTCCTGCTTCCGTAAATTATTCATTAACGTGGTTAACCGGTGTGATAGGTTTGCCGTCGCCGTGGAAGTATGCCTCAAGATTATCCATGGTAATTCGTTCGAAATTCTATATGGATGCAAAAAGAAAATTATGAATATCAGCTGCCATGGAATGTCTAATCGTGGCATTTGACAGACGAGAAAGTTATCTCACCTCATAAGTGTCAGCACAACAACCCCCCATGTGTGGCAGCAAAGTTATCCTCATATTATTCAACAGCCTAGGGTTAATGACCGGCCTATATTCACACAACCTCTATTAGGAAACGGTCTAACATACCACATTCGGGAAAAACGAAACATCTAAGAGGTAAAAGAGGGAAGAAGGCACTTACTCATCATGATAAACGTCTAAGCCGGCGCCCGCCACCTTTCCAGTCTCAAGGGCATCTGCAAGTGCATCTTCATCAATACACTTACCCCGCCCAATATTCACAACCCGAATACCCTTCTTCATGACGGCAAACGTGTCCCGATTCAAAATATGATGCGTCTCTGGCGTATGCGGGCAAGCCAGCACGAGACAGTCCGCCACCGCCAGCATCCCTTCCAAGGTGGAATGATAAGTCGCACCACCCAGCGAAGCCTCAACATCAGCACCCTTTCTCGTTCGGCAGAAATAATGTATTTTCATCCCAAACGCCTTGGCCCTAAGTGAAATCTGTACTCCGATTTCTCCCATCCCCACAACACCCAGTATACGATTGCGTGTCACGTTAGAACAGGGAATCACATCCTTCTCGACACGGAAGTATTTGGCTTCGCGCATCTCACGCAGTCTACCCTCGGTAAAGGTTGTGTATCGGAAAGCCGCGAGGATCAGGAATAGAGCAATATCAGCTGTGGAGTCATTTGCCCCGCCAGCACCGTTGCAGTACCAGATACCCCGCCGCGCCAGCTCCTCAGTATCAATGCCGTCGTACCCATGGCTTGCGGAAGCGATGATCTTGCAGGTTGTAGGTAGGTGAGAAATTAACTCCTTGTCTAGCAGAGGAAGGTTTACCTGTGGTTTTAAAACTGAGGGTCGGAAGATGCCGTTAATGGTCGAGTACGGACCGCCTGGTTGGAGGTTGCTGATAAATTCAGCTTTCGACTGAGAGGTGTAGGGGATGATTGTGAAGCGTTCCTGGAATTTCTCCCATTGGTTTGTAGCATAACGGATGGTGTTACCCACGAACAGTATAGTGGGTTTGGAATTAGTGTCCATTTGCGGTTTTGGCTGTGGTGAGTATCTGTTTTCGAGTAACTATGTATATATGTAGGTAAGGTGGGTTTGATCCCAGGGCTTCAGGATATGTGCCCCGCTCGATGTAAGGAGTAGAGAGAGCTAGAATTTGGAAGATTCTGTGTGGAATACGCGACGGCTTAACTACGTATTATCACAATGGAGAACTATCATTTTATCTTATGGTGCTAAACTGATTTTTATCATAGGTTTGTGCGAAACTAGAATATCGTACTATCGTATCTGTGAGGGCTAGTTAGTTATGTCAAATGTAACGTTATCCGCCACTCAACCCTCGCTTCTACCACTTCTTCAACTAGTCTACGAAATTCACAAATTTCCTACAACGCTTTATTATATTTAAATATTAAAGATTATATATCTATTAGATTGAATAGACTGTATTAAAGTATATCAAAAATTCAAAAATTGCGACGATAGCTTAATAGTCCGGACTAGAACATTGAAAATGAAGAAATTGAGAGAGCTGTGTAACAAATTGCCAGTGAAAGAAGGTCTTCTATTAAACGTGTAATTGCATTATTACCAGGTGAGAGAGTGATATAGAATCCTCACAATCAGCGTTTTTATTAAATTCTTCTCTTTGTAAAGGACTTGAAGGTAGATTGACAGTACACTTTTGATAATTGTTTAGAGCATTTAGAAGCATTAGAGACTTGCTCAGCTGCTAGTTTGAGCTCTTAAACTTGTCGAGCAGCTAATCTGCAAGCAGCAACCTCAGTTCTTGCTTTCACATGTTGCTCTGAAGTAGCTACCTAAGCTTTACTGTGAGCAATTTTTTTTTTTTTTTTTGCAACTGCTAGAGCGATTCTTTTGATGTTGAATATCATAACTAACTAATGAATCACCCTCCCGTGTGGATCACCCACACCCAATCAAACTTGGCAAATTGAATTAAGCAACCATCAACTAGAATTCCTCATATTAAATATATAGATCTATTCCTTAGGTCTATTGGCAGGTTCTAGCAGTATGACCGACTATATTACACTTGCTGCAGCATGGTAGAGCTCGCTTTCTAGGTAGCTAGTTTGAATTCTCTACCCTCTCTTGTATGATTTGATCAATTGCTTGAGCTCTAGCTTTTTCTTTCTCAGCTGTTAGCTTCATTCTAAGCTATAAATGTATGAGCTTGCTTCTTCTTGCGCTTTTTCTTCTCAACTGCAGCTCTCAGCTCCTTGTTTTCTTTTGCTAAGATAGCAGGAACTATACACGGTGAGCTGGAATCCTTTAATCAACTGATTAAAGACTTGATTGATTGAACTGGACAGCAACTCTATATATTGCTTAATCTTGCTGCTTTGAAGTTATAATTGCCTCATATTCTTTGACATTTAAAGACTATGACATGACTCAAGTGTCTTATAGAGTAGAAGAATGAAGCTGAGTATGTAGATGTGTAAGAATCTTATCCAGCTTATATAGCACTAAATCTATGTCTTTAAATTCATTCTTAATAGTAGAGTCCTTGAATGCCTTCTTTTTAACTGCAGGATAGAGTGCTAGAAAATCCTTGCTGATATAATTGACTTTGAATTTATAGAATTCTCAACTATTTGTTCATATACTCATTTGAATTTTCAAAACTACTGACATCTAATAGCTGCAGGAGATAGGATGAATAAGTGTGATTGGCGTTGTCTGAAAGGGTAATAGCAACGGCAATGTATAAGGAGATGCTTCCCCAAGCTCCCTTTCGTAAATCACCTTAGTATTCGTTGAAATAGTTTACCTACTTGGCAAATCGAACTCCTGTTTATCTGCGCCTAGATTGAAGCCGTAAGTAACATTAGATAGTTATTTCATTGAGTAAATTTTCAGAATTTTCAGTTATTTCTGATGATTAACTTCTTTTCCTTGTTTCATTTGTAAAATATTTGAAATGTATATAACTTGAGCTGCAGCTGGAAGTATCGATAGATATTAGCAAGGGGATGATGCATTAGATATATATTATCATCTCTTTTGTCATTGAGTTTGAATTTCATGATATGTTAAATATTTTATTCACTCAAACAATTAGTTTTTTCGGACGCTTCTAAGACAGTTGCAAGGAAGAATTAATGCCAGAACTTTTCCATGTGTAGGGGTGTTGCTGGTGGTTGTTAAAATAATAGGGGTTGTTGAGGTTAATGATTGGATTTGGGCGGAGTGGAGTATATCCCAATTTCAATTTCTACGGAAGAAGCTGTTTCATATATTCTAGCATTCAGAATCATACAATAGAGACGGTTTCTAGCAGACCTCGGAATGTATCCATTTGCAAGAAGGGATATATGCTCGTCAACAATAGGACTCAGTCCATGCTGCATCAAGTATTCCCCCCAAGGAGGTCCATCTGCAAATCAGATGTTCCGGTCTCCCAATTGTCATTATCTCAGTTCAAAATGGCTATCAAATTTTCAATCCATGCTTATTAGTGCCGTAAGCAAACGCCTCATCCAATATTTGAAGTGCCTCTTCAATTTCCTCGGGGGTCACGGTAACAGGAGGCGCCAAACGGAACACATCGCCCATCCCCGGATAAGTAACTATATTGCAAGAGAGCCCACGATCAAAAGCCCTATCTGTAATGGTTTTCCCGAGAGCAGCAGCTGGAGCTTTAGTTTTAGGATCTGAGATTATCTCAATGCCGAGGAGAAGGCCACGGCCACGCACATCACCAATGAACCAATATTTTTGTTGGAGGGCGAGAAGACCGTTGAGCAGCTGCTTGCCACGTTCCGCTGCAAGTTGACAAATGTTGTCTCGTTCGACTATCTCAAGGACTTTATTACCAACCGCGGCTGGTAAGGGATCATTGTAATGTGTTGTGAGCCACATAAATCCAGCTTCATTGCAACCTCGCTCGATTTCAGCAGTGGTGCTGACGGAAGATAGAGGTAACCCACAGCCCAGCGTCTTAGATAGACACAGAATATCGGGGACAACGTCTTCGTCATATTGGAATGCGAACATCTGGCCTGTCCGACCGACACCCGTCTGCGCCTCATCCACAATAAGAAGCATGCCGCGCTTTTTGCATTCAATAGATATTCGCTTAAGATAACCCTTGGGAAGATCAAGGATTCCCCCTGTTGACAAAATAGGTTCCAAAATAAATGCAGCAAGAGAGCCAACAGATTGAATATCAATCATTGACCACCCATAGTCCATTTCCGTTTCCCAATCGTACGATCCATCTGGTTTTCTGAATATCGAACGGTAAGCATTGGGGGCGGGAAAGGAGAGCTGTCCTGGCATGACAGGACCGCCATGTTTTCTACCCAATGAGTACGTGGCAGATATTGCACCCTGCGTCAGGCCGTGGTAACTTGCAGAAAATGCGACAATTTCAAACTTGCCCGTATATGTTTTGGCCATCCTAATGGCGGCTTCGATGGATTCTCCGCCGGTGTTTAGGAAAAATGACTTCTCGAGGGGTGCTGGAAGCAAGCGACCAAGACGTTCTGCAAGATTAACCACTGGAATGGTGACCATGTTGCTTAGGAGGTGGTCGAGCTCCTCAGCAGATTTCTTTATCACTTGAACGATCTCTGGGTGTGAATGGCCTAGGAGAGAGCTCATTTGGCCAGAGGTAAAGTCTAGAATTTGCCTCCCTTCCGCATCGTATAGCCTAGATCCTTTGGCTTTTGTTATTACAACAGGCGAAAAAGCTATTCCTGTCTTCATTAAGTGTTTATTGGTCTTGGACCAGAATTCTGATGCGTTGAAGGACATATTGGAGCCGAGATTTTGGTCCAACAGTATTGATTGAGATATGAAAAAAAGGTGAAAAAACCTGGTGCACTGCAGGGAGTTGAGAAGAAAAAAAAAAAAACAAGCAAGGATGGTAAATTTTTGTTAAAAAGGGGAGAGATGTAGGAATGCAAATAAAGAAAATGATGAAAAGGGAAATATTTATTTTTGGTTTTCATTTTATAATTTTCTGAATAGAAATATGGTACAGATAGATCTGTTTTTCTAGTGGGGCGGGGAAGATCAAAGGCTTATTATTAGGCACGGGGAACTGAAAGTTTATTGCCCGCGCGGCGACAAACTCTTAGCCATCGCTCTCACCAAGAGGTTCTTTCACGACATGTACGCCCTCGTGGAAGCGCCCCGTGCTTCTTCAGACCTTCTATAAATGACTCTGGACGAGGGGTGCGGTGGTGGTCGGGATCTTGTAGACAGCCGTAAAGGGAGACCATATCGATCACACTTCCATCCAGCCTGTTTCGTTTGCAGGAGACGAAAGTCTCGCTATACAACAAACGATGCCGCGGAAAAATGTGCTATGTGTCTAGTCCATGGAACTGACTGTCCCTTCCCGCATCAAATATATCACACTTCTTCGCGATGGCCAGTCCGTTGTGCACAGAAGAGATCAGCCAAGACCAGGCAGATAAGGACGGCATCCAAGGGACAAGTTCTCGTGGATCGGAGATCTGCCCGTTCCATTGGAGATAAGGAAATATCCTCAGAGCTCCTAGAATAACATTTGGAGTTATTGTGCTCCGATACCGAAGGTCGTGAAGAGACACCGTCGAAGGGTGTGGGGATATTTACAGAAGCGGGGAACCACAGTTCTGATATCGTTAGCCCAGCCATTGCTGAGGACAGTGATATCGTGGAGGGCTTCCTGACAACTACTGCAGCAACCAGAGGCAGGAGGCTAGCTTGTGCGGTTCCTCTTGGGAATGCATCATCTACTCGAACCGCTCGTCACCTCACACTACTCGCGAGCCTGCAAAAATTGCGAATTAATAGGGAAGCTCATAGAGCCCAACGCAAGGGATCTGGCAGATCTGTGAGTGGCAACTCGCCTATACTCCAGTAGCCCTATGTGAAAATGATAACCGGGCCATTGCCAATAGATTCTTCGCTAAGGCGAAAGTCTGCCTCCCCATGCTTGATGAATTGTCTTTCAAAAACACTCTCCAATCTGTATGCCCACTCTCTAATATGTTGGCAAGATTCACCGAAACTACGCAGCATGCGCTGCCATAATGTCAATTTTATCTGGGTCCAAGAATACGAAGCTTTAAATTCAGAGATCATTTCTGTCTCCTGTAATGTCAACTGTGATGGCGATTATGCTTAATGTTGGTGGAAGGCCTAATACAACAATGTTAGGCAACGGAGGGCTACTAGGTCTAGCTATTGCATTTTCCAATGCCTTTGGATTACATCGACATCCCTTCAACTGGAACATGCCCTCATCAGAAAAGCAGCTTCGCATAAGGATCTGGTGGTTGGTTGTTGTCTATGATCGCTGTTGAGAGAGTCTCAGTTCTCTCCCCTTCGTCTTTTCATCCAACTGAGCCACTTAACAGCTCGCAAAAGGTGTAGTTTAGCATATGGAACTCCGATGCATGTTCATCGCAGCATGATATCCCTCTTCCAAACTCACAGGATGTGTGTTCCTCTAATGTTTCGCCATCCCAGGTAACTGCGACTTCGGTATTTGTATCCCTTATCACCCTTACCGAAGTGCTAGGTAGCTATTTAGAGTACATTTGCCACATCGCAAAGACTCCTACGGATCATTTCGAGAAAACCATCGCACAGCCCGAGGTTCTCCTGGCGCCATGGGAGGAAACTCTGGGCGATGATATCCGTAGAACTGTACTTCAGAACAACTAGTCTTAACTCTCCAAGAATTCCAAATCTTCAGTTAACTTATCTAGCTGAAAAACGTCTGCTATAACATATTCAACTTGATCGAGATCGGGGGACGGCGCAAGCGGGTGAAAGCTCAGAATGCCCGGTATACTTCCGGGCCCAAAGAGCAGCTGAGGATAACGTCCATTTTGTGCAAGAACTGGATGAGTCACATATGCACAGATTTTTGTATTCCTGCAAATGCATTCACGTTAACATCAGCGGCGTCCTTTCTAATGAGGAGCGTCCTGAGATCTAGAAACTCAAGGGGAAATAATACGCCTCTCAAACTTGCAAGAGACATGATTGATGCTCTAGAACGTCACCGGCGAGACTTTTCTTGGGATCTCGCAGATAATTGTTTGGAAAATTGCAGCGGCATGCATGCTAGAGAAAATTGAAGCTGGGGATGCATTATTCAGGGCCTGCTTTACCAAACTTTGAAGAGTACTCGGATACAGATGTGTCAGTGCTTGGTGACCTGCTTACGGGATTCAGCGATCCATTCGAGATGGAACTTAATCCTGCAGCCAACGCAGTTGAGCATATATAAAGTGATTATAGACATTGGCCTTCACCCACCTGGTGGACAGATAGGATATAGTTACATTACCAAAATGCAGGAAGAGGTGGGGCAATAATTTTTGCATATATTTGACAGCTTCCTCTGTGCAAGTGAGGGATACATATTATCGCCTCTCTAAAGCAAGGTCCTGTGTTTGTTGGTGATAATGGTAAGGATTCTTCGGAGCCTGCATCCTGGGGAAGGCTAACTGATCTAAAAATGCTTCCAGAATATTCATTTGTTCTTGGAGGGGAATTTTCTGTGCCTTAAACTGACTGTAAAATGAACCAATGGCAAACAAGGGAAGTTTGGAAAGCAGATAACACCCTTCATAATTGATGACATATATCAGCCAAATAGAAATAGTTAACTATCTTCGAACTCTTGCTGATAGTTAACTGAGATTCAAGTGAGCTACTTTATGGAAAAGCCAATGAAACTCAATATTTCCAGTGAGATCCTACTCCTGATGCTACTGTGACACTCGACAAATGATCAATCATGAATCAGAGGTGATTTGGGGAGAAACTGTGCATTTTGCATCTCACGTACGTCGGTTGCATGCTCCGTGTCATCCATAACTAGTGACTGGTTGGTCTGTCATCTTATCGAATGCTGACTGAACAAGATACAGGCCATGTATCCGCATAAGGAATACTCCCATAGTTTTGGCGTAAATATACTCTGGAAGGTCTCTCCGGTGGTTAACTAGTTAACTGTGCATTTTGCTTTTTCTGTCTGTCATATTTAGTAGTCCGCATTTTCGAGTAGGTGAATTCGCGGCAGCATCTCAAGGGAGTTTGTATTGGTGTGATTAAAGTTGCATCCTCCTCCAACGTGCTCATATACGCATGTCAGCAGAATATATGGAGAACGCTGTCATTATGCCGGGATGGGGATACCACATAACATGCTGGGGTTAAGCGGGAAACCTGAGATTGGTTGCTAGGATTGGGAAGAGGTATAGATAGGCCGGGGGCGAAGATCGAAACGCACGTTTAAACCCCAGTTTCCGCCAGTAGCCATCTCCCCACGATCTCCTATTATCATATTAGTTACCCCAGGGTTGGGATCCTTCGACAGATCCCATGGGGGCAGGGATGTTCCCCGGAAATTTGATTACGAAATTTCAAAAATATTCAGAGCAACAGTATACAGGAAGGCGTGATGATACAGCTTCATCTCGACGAACCTGCAGAGGGAAAGTAAGAGGAGACTTTACATCATACTTGAAATGTGGATGTATGAATGACACGACTTCATTGTAGCCAGGGAAGCCAAAATATATAAGAAAACCCCCGGTTCCAGGCCAACAAACTTAAAGGGGTTTGCTTTGCCCTTCGAAGTCAGCAAACTGCGGGGGAGTACATGTCATAATATGGCCTGTACGGAGTTCATTCTGTTGAGATCACAATTGAGCCCGATCCCATAAAGCTGCCCGGGCACAAAACAGGCCTGGAAAAATCATCTCGAAACAAAGATGATTCCTAAGGATGTCCGTGGATTGCAGGCGGTTCCGTTAGATGTCTCAAACGAATGCCTGTCATATTGATTGGGACCAGCCGTGTTCCGTTATTATTGGCGAAGGTAAGCTGCTCCTGGGCTGAGGATTTGAAAGAGAGGTTTCATTGTTAGAGAAAATTCCAGGGGGTGTTCGCTTTCAAACAGGGAGACCCTGGGTCAGGGAGGACAAAATGTGCATCCTTCAGCGAACCAACAGGCAGATGATAAGTCCGCCCAGGGAGAGTGAGGATAAATGCAGTGGGCAGTCTCCAGGCGTCGCTACCATATTATTCGTGTAGTTCCCGTATCGCGCTGAAACAAAATTTTGTGTGGCTCGCACAGAATTAAGCGGGCAGGTACGGAGTACCCAGGTATCAATTAATTTATCAATGGCTTCATCAGACGCCAGGTTGGCTTCCAAGGGTTAACGGGGAGTGAGATATAATAGCAGACAACCAAACCGGCGATGGCGATGCTTGGGCAGTAAGCACCCTTAGAAGGTTGGGTGCCTTAGCTAACTGGTTTAGTTAACGAGAGCGTTTGGTAAGTCAACCAACTAATTCCTGCCCACCGCCTTGCCTTGCCATGCCAAAAGGGAGCAGATACACGGGTCGTTTGGGTCCTCCATAGTCTATCTCAACGACAAGCCTCCAACCTCGCCCGACAGTTATTATATCCAGATATCTCAGCTGAGGATTTACCACCCAGGTTTGTCAAGGTAACTAGTTATCAAGACGTGGCTCATAGGCGCTCCCCCCCCCCAAAGGAACCCCGCTTCATGGCGCCCAAATCGGAGACACTTGTGGTGCATAATTCGATTCAGGGGATGAGCTAGCAATAATGGCCCGTGGTTTCGTCCCCTGGCTTAAGCTTGTCATTGTTGCAATAACTTCCCTGCATCAGCAGAAGACCTCCATTTCATGGAAGAAAAAAAAATCAAGCGATTGAAAAACATCAGGCCTTGGCAAGAATCGGATACCACCCAAGAAACCTCAGTTTGCTACATGGAATGAGAAAGGTATGTACATGTTCATTTGGAACCCTCTCCAATATCTAAAGGAAAAGACTAGTCGTCTCGCGCGATTTTGATTCTTTGAACGGATATCAAGGAAATCGGGGCTCAATACCTGACGAATTCCTTCTCTGCAATCATTCTTGTCAAGCGACTCTTCATCTGGATCCCTCTAATTCTAGGCCGTTGATGTGATGTCATTCCATGTTTATTGCCTCGCGTGTTAATAAATGACACCTGTATCTGTGTCCCCCACACTGTTATCAATCTCTCTACCCATAACTGCCGGCAATACAGGTTTCCAATGCGAGTTCAATTCTCTCGTTGGTATTTATTTTTCCCCTCCCTTCCCATCCTGCCAACTTCTAAATCATTAGAGCATCCAAGTTCATTCCGTCTAAAATTAACATCTACCTTTCACTGTACGAAGTGATCTGCGTATTCAGTGCGACTTCTGCTGTTTCTGTGTCATTGACGCTTGGATGATCGACTTCAAAGTAAACAAAACTACTTCGCAAAAAACGCCGCCGAGCTTGTTGGGGTTCAATCACAATAAATAAGGGATTTATTTACCTAGCCACCCCCACAACACCCGGGGCCGAAAGCTTCATTCAGCCTTTCAATCAACGGCTTCTTTTCTCTTCTTCTTTTCTTTTCTTTTCTTTTCTTTTTTTTTGAAAGCAATCCCTTGATAAATGGAGGGGAATTGATGCTTCTCCTGTCGAAACTTACCTGCTTCTCATAAAACAGAAGAAACAAAAAACCATTTCTATTGTCGATATCCATTCCAACACACAAAGACAGTTTTAAGTTTCTAGGAACAACTGTTGACCAGTGCAGATTTCTCCCAGCATGGCATGTTGCAATGAGTGCTCGGCTAGATTTCTGTCACGGAGCGGCAAAGTCCGCCACAATCCACACCTTGATTTCCCGAAGCGGGCCCACTACTTTGGGCTGAAGTTTGGCGAATAACGGTCTGAAAACCAAGTCCCCTAGGATAAGCAGGGAAAAACAGGATAATTAGTGGCATCGTTTAATGCATGGCCTCATATCACGTCACGGCAAGATCAAACTGAATCGATTGACCGCTTGCCTGGGCGGAATTTATGCCCGTTGAAACTATCAGACAAAGTTTCACAAAAATAATTATGATTGTGCCTTTTCGCACTTGCGATTGCATTTGCCTCTTTGCCATTCGTAGTTGAGAGACCGAAATGACGGTTACATCCATGCCTCTCCACCCCGCCCCGACCAATGATGGTCCCGGCTTAGTCGATGGATTGGACGAGCCTGCGGATATTTCAAAGTTGTTACAGCCCAAAGATCAAAGTCTTTTCAGGCAAATTGCCAAATCTTCGAGATAGGTGGTTTCGTTTTGGCTCCAACTTAGGCCTATCAATACACTGAGGTCTTCAAAATACCTAGGTTTATACCAGAGGGAAATACTTACCATGGGATTAATGTCCTTTTTTCCTTCCTTGCAGATAATTCTCAGACAGCCACTAGTTGACGGCTGCGGCGCAGAACTATGTCTACCATCGTGCTCATTAGCAAACTAGCTATTCATGTGCTTTCCAAGACACAAGTTATCAGAGGACTCAATATCTGTTAGGCCTATGGAATTGTGCTCGACCTTATAGGCTACTGGCGATTCGTCCTTTTTGCCAGAGAGTTTAACAATATCACACGGGTTTTTCGCGGAGAGGAACACACAGCTTCAATCCGACTTAACCCGGAGCTACTGGAGCTACAATATTACTACTACTCGAAGTGTGAAGGTCGTCAATTATGGTGGGTGACATTTTGGAGCATGGTGCGTGGTGCGTGAGTGTAGCCTTCTTAGTGCAACAGGGAATCAATAACCCTGGCTTTCTGACGCCAGCCGGAAAGTAATAATATCAGTGGTCTTCATTTTATTTTATTTTATTTTAATTTTTTTTTTTTGCCATCCATCAGACATGGTTCCGCTCTCTTTGCTGTCGCCTACAAGTCCCTTGCTTACCTTGAGCTAATCGAACTACTTTTTTGAGGGGCCCCGGAATGATAACGTTGCAACCCCGCTGCAGCTTCTCCTGGGGTCGGAAACATGGAGCGTGCCCTATCTGTGCTAAAGCCGTGTAATATAGTTAGTACAAATATGAGAGTCACCCCCCTTCACAGATAAAGATGGTTTTCTCTCCTCTTCCCTTCAGGTGCCGTTCTTCCGTGAAGCTCCCGAAATAATCGCGACCATGTCTGCTCCGAAGGCGGCCGAGGTTCAGCATCCGGCGAGTGCTGATGTCGCTGAAAAGCGTTCAATCTATGCAGTTGAGGAGAAGGCAATTGATGGTGCCGCATATAACAGCACACACGACAGCCTTGATGACCTAAATCAAAGAGCTCCCACGGTTGACGAAATCCAAACGCTCCGTCGTGTGCCTGGGGAAATTCCATGGATTGCTTATTCCATTGGCTTCGTCGAATTGTGTGAAAGATTTTCTTACTATGGAACCACCATCGTGTGTGAGTGTTACAGGACAAATTTCTGATAATTTCAAATAGTTACTAAAACTCTTTCCTCTCATAGTTGTCAACTTCATCCAACGAGCTATGCCTGAAGGTTCCACTACTGGTGCCGCGGGGACCAATGCCACACCCGGCGCCCTTGGATTAGGACAACGGGCATCCACTGGATTAACCTTATGTAAGGGACAGTTCCCTGGCCAAGATTTTAGTTAGTTCCCTTTAACCAACCATTGTATGCAGTCAATCAATTCTGGTCCTATATCATGCCGTTGCTTGGTGCCTACGTTGCCGATGAGCATCTGGGACGTTTCAATACCATCATGGGAGCTATTGCTGTTGCCCTTGTCGGACACACAATTTTGATCATTTCGGCCATCCCCCCGGTGCTGAAAAACCCCAATCGTGCTGTTGGGGCATTTACTGTTGGGCTCATTATTATGGGAGTGGGAACTGGTGGTTTCAAGTATGTGCTCTGTGGCATTTCAATGCACGCGCCTCTCGCTTCGCAAACGAGACTGACCTTGCCAAAACAGAGCCAACATATCCCCCCTAATTGCGGAGCAGTACCATGAAGAGTATATGTATGTCACAACTACCAAGAAGGGCGAACGCGTCATTATGGACCCCTCTCTCACCATCTCCCGAATCTACCACTATTACTATCTCTTGATCAATGTTGGAGCCCTCGTTGGCCAGATTTCAATGGTATACGCCGAGAAATATGTCGGCTTTTATCTTTCCTTCTTACTGCCCACCTGCATGTTCTGTGTCTGTCCACTTGTTCTTTTTGTCTTGCGCAACAAGTACAACCGTAAACGCCCAGCTGGTTCCGTATACGGCAAAGCGTTCAAAGTATGGAGATTGGCGACAAAAGGCCAGGTGTCGTGGAATCCTTTCAAGACGTATGTCTCTATAACCACTCCCCATGCTAATTTACTTAGAAATGCTCTAACCAATCTGGAACAGATATCGCAACTTCCACGATCCGCATCTGTGGGATAGAGCCAAGCCAAGCAATATTGCTGTTAGGCCAGCGTGGATGACCTTTGACGATGCATGGGTGGACGAAGTCCGCCGTGGCATCAAAGCATGCGCCGTGTTCCTCTGGTACCCACTCTACTGTATGTTTCTCACATGTTTCCTTTTATCTGGTGTTTCAGAATGTAAAGTATTAACAGTGAATTTCCATTTCAGGGCTTTCCTACAACCAAATGTTGAACAATATTACCTCCCAAGCCGCCTCCATGACGCTTAACGGTGTTCCCAACGACATTGTCAACAACCTGAACTCTCTCTCCCTTATTATCTTCATTCCCATTCTTGACAAATTTTTGTATCCTCCACTCCGAAAAATGGGCGTCAATCTGACTCCTGTTAAGCGTATTACCGTCGGGTTCATCCTCGCAGGCTCCAGTATGATTGCCGCCGCCGTGACTCAACACTATATCTACAAGCTCGGGCCCTGTGGCAAATATGCCAACAAATGCGCCAAAAAGAATATCCCCGCCCCCATCAGCGTCTGGGTGCAAGCTATTCCTTACATCTTGGGTGGTATCTCTGAGATCTTCGCCTCTGTGACTAGTCTTGAATACGCCTTCACAAAGGCACCTAAGAATATGCGCTCCCTCGTGCAGGCCATGTCGTTGTTCATGAATGCCTTCTCCAGCGCCATTGGCCAGGGCCTTGTCGGTCTCGCTGAGGATCCCTTGCTCGAGTGGAACTATGGCGTCACTGCCATTCTGGCATTTGCGGGCGCTGTGGGCTTTTGGATTACCAATCGTGGCACTGATAAGGAAGAAGATGCGCTTAACAACTTGCCCACTGGCAACTGTCCAACAATGAAAACCAATGAGGATATGGAGGGGAATATTGCTAAGACCGTGTAACTTTCTTTTTGTACTCCACTCAATTCCGTTGGGATGTGGACGTCATATGACACTTACATATGATTTGCGTTTGATACCTTTTCGTTTTGCTTCCTTCTAAACGTAGAATGAACTGGGAAAGAGTTGTATGTAGTTATGTGTATCTGGAAATATATACACCAACATAACAACATAACATCCCTCTACTCTTCTTGATTGATGGGACGGCAGCTATACACGCTCATTTACTTGTAATTTCTCACAAGAGTTGGCGTTGGCTATCTGATGAAAGTTATATTTCCCTCCTTTACCCACTTGCCAGTCGATTCGAGGCACACATAAGCTTGGGTGAATAGGCAAGAAAAGAATATTGATTTTGAGACAAGCAAGCACCAACAACAAGATGGGGTGCAAAGCGTGCAGCTAGACAGATTGCTTCTGCGAAAAAGCAATAGTTAATGGAATGAGGTGTCCTATAGAAGAGCTTCCCGTGTGACGATTTGCAAGTTTGAGTGCCGAAAGAGGAATAGAATACACTATCTAAGCGGAGATAGATATATATATGTTAAGGGAGAACAGACGAGGTTTGCCTCTCAGGGTAGAAACCACCATGGAAGGCAGAATCAGCCATGGCAAATTGTTGGTGTTTAGCTAAAAGGTAACTATAGGTAATGGTTCATAGTCCACTTCACTAATTAACTAGTTTAGTGACCAGTATCCTCGCAGCCAAGGCGCATTGTATGCCAGCAACTGCAACCCCAAGCACCTCCATCATGCAGCATGCTATGGTTCCCCTCATCCCCCGTATTACTAGCTACCATTACTTGAGTTATCGTTATGGAGCAAAGTAGACTAGATTGGACAACAACAGCGCTCAAGTCTTTGATTTGTCTTCGTAGCTTCAAGAGGGGAAAATCTTCACACTTAATTTGCATTGATTACATCTAGTTATTATCTTATAAATGGTTATATACATGCAATGAACAAATTAACATCTCTGAATTAGAGAGCACCCTATGCCAGCTTTGAGACGCCGTATATATATATGCATTGTCATGGTGTATAAATGCTTCCTGTATTCGACGGTTTGAATTCAATTGTGAAACCATGCAACCAAATAACCACGTAACCAGTGCTGCCAAGTCTATTCAGCCGTACCGCAATGTCATACCAGCCATATGCATGACTGGCTGGAGAATCGTGATTAGAGGGGGGAAGAGAGAAGAAAGGGGATAGGAGGAAAATGGACGAAAAGAAGAGAGATTAAAAGGAGGGGTGTCACAGGCTGTGTCTACGCAAATCCAGGTGGAGTGTCAGAAATGTATAATACAGAAGGAGAGGAAAGAAAATGGTGTCCAAGTAGCAATGGCAACAAGACGTAGAAATGCGGACACGAAAAAGGGGTATAGGAAACATACAGGACGCAGAGGAAATAGCAAACAGGTGAAAAGTGAAATGAGAGAAGAAAAAAAAAAAAGGAAAATCACATAGATGAAGAAGAGTAAACGCCAGTCGGACGGGTCTAGATAGTAATATTATTCCATCCATTGATGTCACGTTATAAATGAGAAAACGAAACCGCCCAAATAGCGGAAAATGAAATCAAGTCCGCGGTGGCGGTGGACTTATCCAGCTCCCATCTCTATTCCAGACACCAACGCCACCATAAAGCCCAGGCTTAGACCCCTTCAAAAATGCGAAGCGGAAAAACAAATCCTGAGCCGGTTCATCAACTCCTTGCGCCGAGGCAAACTTATCATCGCCATCACTATCATTGTCAACATCATCCCCATAATCCCCACGATCGGGAGTTTTCGGTCTTGAAATATCCAATCCCTTATGGCCATGTCGATGCCACACAAACTCCCCTTTTACATCCTCATCCATATACCCGCGCCACCTCTCGACATCATTGACAAGCACACTGATCCCATCCACGTCAAGCTTCTCCATTCGCTCAGGCTCCCACAGACGGAATGTGATGTTCCCATTGCCCCTGTCGGTATATCCGTCGGAGGGCAGCGAGATAACAACGGAGGAATTGGTGATGTTGGGACTCGTAGCGCCCCACCAGCCGTTACTGCCGCCAACTCCGGGTAATTCGCCCAGCGCACTTGGCGTTTCGATTATGGATGCAAAGCCCCATCTGGCGACGCCGTTAACGAAGAGGCCGAGGAGCAAGCCCTGGTATATGATTGATGGGCGAATAGGGAATGCGGTGCCGGGCATGAGTAGCATGGCGAGGATGTAGTGGTGGATTCGCAGGCGGTATTGTGGGAGGACAAGGAGGAAGATTAAGCCGCTGCCGATACAGATGTAGATCTTGAGGTAGTGGAAGAAGCGCCCGCCCTGACGGATGTGCCAGGCCTGGCCAAGAACAATTAAGATGACGATGGTGACCACGATGGCCAGTGCGATGGGGGCGCCAGGTTGGGATTTGATGTCGTGCGGGGTCAGGCGTTGGATAGGTATCCATTGTGCGAAAGTGTAGTTGTTGAGAGCGCCAATGAAAGCGGGACCCAAGTAGAGGATTGTTTTACTGAATTGGTAAACTGGAGGTGCGGCTAGTGGTGTTAAGAGAGGACGTGCGCAGTAGATATAGAGAACGTATGCGATGAAGCTTGCGGGGAGAAGTCTGGAACATAGGAGAGAAAAGAGGTCCGAAACCCGAGGCAGGTCGGGCGGGTCAGACACGAGCCCCACGTGAAGAATGAGCATGAAAAACGTAGTGAAGAAAAACACTGCGGGTGAGGTGGTGAAGACAGAGACAAGAACGATAGCAGTGGCGGTGATGGCAAAGAGCGGCCATCGCAAATCTCCAGGGCAATCAGCCTGCGAGGCTGACAGCCGTAGGAATCTAAATGATTTCGGGAACGTTGAAGGGAAGCCAACCGAAGCAATGCTATGCGCCTTGCTGGCGTAGTACGAGTGACCAGCGCCAGTCAGCTCGATAACTCCACAGCCACCTGTCGAGTCACTGACCACACCAGCGTGGATTGCAGCTTGGCAAACATGACTATCTGCCCGATAGATGGCATTTTCATAGGCATCGCTGGAAGAGCCAGGAGCGGGGCCACCAACAACAAGAGGCCGGTAGCTGACTGTTTCATTACCCACCGTGTACGGTTTAAGGACAAGAGAGCTGGTGCAGAATGCAGGACATCGAAAAGCAAAAGTTGAGGCGTTAAATGGTCGACATTCATAACCATTCAGCCCACATTCGTTTCCTGGAAACCTATAATAAAATCAAAGCCATAATCAGAATTTCGAGTTTTACGGGTCATCCCAAAATATTTCAACAGAATATGACCACTAAGACATACCAGTGGCTATGACGACATGAAATCGGAGATGGTTTCCCATAGCCCTCGATAAAGCCGCCGGAAGCTGAATGTCGCAGAATCAACGCCCAGGGGAGGAACCAACTGAAGTACAGCGCCAACAGCAGACCAATCTTGTATTTCCGTTTGGGAAAGAATCGGTCTACCAGCTTGACGGGAGCAGACTGAATGCTAGGGAAGAGCGGGTCCAGTAGCAGGACTCGAGGGGGGTCGGGGCCCTTGAGCCATTTGACGGTCGAGCGGCCGACTTTCCGCAGGGATAGCGGTACCCATTTCCAGTAGAAAGACTTTGAGGACTCAGCCAGCCAAACCGGGATGGGAAAGGCAGTGGATGAATGTTCAACGCCTCCAGACATGCCTAGTTGTTGAATTCCATCTGGCTCGTCGGTGTACGGTCGCTCCTCGTCGCCGGCCAGAGGGGCGATGACAGTTCTACCGGAGAGAGCTTCTCCATCGTTCCACGGGTCCCTAGCCATGATTTACTTCCCACTACACTGCCACGCTGGAGAGGAAGAAGGAATATGTCGGAGGGCCAAATATTAGGGGATTCAAATGGACCAGAGATATCCCAGACCGCGGGCCCCCAAACAGACCCAGAAGGAAGCGGAAGCGACGGACAGCAACGGAGACAAACACGGAGGAAGAGTCTATGGAGGGTATCACGACGCCGAAACCAAAAGCAGGAAGAGGAAAAACAAACAAACGCGGTGAGGAGATAGGGGGAGGGGGAGGGGGAGGAGAGGATGGTTAAGATCGTAGAGCACAAATATATAACAGATGAAGTGGCGGAGGTTGGGATGTTTTGAGTCAAGATGTAGATTCAGCGGAGATTACGTCAGCTAGAGTAGTCAGCGGTTCGATCCCGTAACTCTATCTGCAACACGTGATCAAGAGTCTAGATTATCTTATTTCAGTTGTTCCGAAAATAGTTCAGCCAATCACATAAATTTGTGTACAGTCCAGGTCGAACTATATACATACCATTAAATAATATTTTCCAACGAACAAAGGTATGGAGCTAATTACTTAATATCTGAATATACACGAAACATTTATTTATGTTGCTCCGTTTCTCTCTCCTTCAGCTACATTGCCCTACTGCCAAGTTGGTTAGTGATTACTGTTGAGCCTTGGCTGACTGCTTCTCCTCGCCGTATCGGAAGTCCGTGTGTGGATCCGTGAGCTGGATAGGATGACTTGCTGGATCACGCTTGTATATACCTTCTATGGCTCAAGTCAGGGGCCCTCACTAGCCCGGATAACGTAACGAAAGTCTGAAAACCCCTGATCTCGTCTTTGAACTCAAAGACTAAAGAACCTTGATTTTGTTCCAGATTACTGTCCCTGGGAGGCACATGAAGCAACAGAGACAGCGGACAGACAATCTCCAGATGCCGTTCGACGGCTTCGAATTTAAGACTTGTACATACATTTTTGATTGAATCTAACTTTTCTGAGACATTCTGTGAGCAGTGTGAGGGTATGCCATACAAGGACCAGCGCCGCCCGCTGACTCCATATTCTTCCCACAACCCTGTGCCTGATACAGTGATAGGGTTATATATTAATTTTATCAGCCCGGATTAAACCTTCCTGTGTAGACACTGGTTGGCTGGCAAATTATACTTTTGTCTGATAGTACAATATCTCGAAAATCCGGCACCAACATAGCAGCTAATAATAAATACTCGGTTGGATCCTCAATCATATCATCCGACCATGACACCAAAAACAGAAATCTCTATGGATATGGCAAACCGCGAGAAGCTAGGATAGCAACTAATAAATTCTCGCCTCCTCTCGACCTGAGCCGCCACTTCTCCGTTGCTTCTAACATCCTTGTGGGAAGTGATGTGAAGAAGTTTTACAAGTACTTTGCCATTCACAAGTTAGTTGGAGATAATACCAAACAAAGGGTACTTGTATACAAGGATAGGGAGATTAGTTTTCTGACTGTTCTTTGTTGTTATTATTATTGAAACATTCAGGCCTTCCCCATGCCTCCTATTTCCCATATGTTGCCCTCGAGGCCACAGTCGCTTCGATGTCGACCGGGATGGGGGGAATTCCTCACAAACCCCTACCTTGTCAGCCAGGCTTACCATCCGAAGGAAAGCACCAGCACCACCCCGGAAAAGAGAATCGATATAACCACCGCCCTCCAATACGGCATTGTGGCAGGCTACCCACCCCTCCTCTCCTTCATCCGCCAATTTGTCCGCTAAAATCTCCATCCAAATGTGCCATACCAAGACGGACCAGAGGTGATTTTCACATGCGGAGCCACTGATGGGTTCTTCAAGACCATCGAAGCACTGACAAATGTCTGAGATAAGAAGAGCGATTGGATTAGAGAGAGCGACTGTATGTTGTGCGAGGAATTTGTGTATATGAATGCCATACAGACAGTGACGCCGAGGGGTGTTAACGTCGTAACTGTTGCTATGGATTCGGATGGAATGATGGTGCGGGATCAGGATGAAGGGAAGGAGGCTTGCGGATATTCTCAAGAATTGGGATTTAAGTCAGGGAAAGAGACCGCATTTGATGTATACGGTGACGTGAGTTTTTCCAGCCAGCGAACGGGCGTATTCACCAAAGGTCTTACCCTTAACACTTTTTCCGAGTTCACGTTAGTGTTTGAGCCTGCTAACACTTGCGATTGTATAATTGGGCAGAACCCAACCGGCGCCGTCCTCCCCGTCCCATGACGACAAGAGATCTACGCCATCTGCGAAAAATACGGCGTCATCGTCGTCATCGAAGACGACCCACACTGACTCTCCAATATCCCTCCGCGGCAGATGCATTAGAAGATCACTTCCGCAGCGTCACAAATGACACGACAAATATTAACGGACACAACTACATCGCCCATGGTACTTCATACGGCTACCTCTTCCTAGACTCCCTCGTCCCTACCTACCTCTCCAGAGGTACAGACGGCCACGTAGTCCGACTGAACATCTTCCCCAAATCCATCGCCCCGGGCTGCCGCCTGGCCTGGCTCACGGCGCAACCCGAGCTTATGGAGTGCATTGGCTTGATAGCGGAGATGAGCACCTAGCAACCTTCTAGCTTCGTGCAGGCGATGGTGGCAAGCATAATTGTGGGTAGTGACAATCAGAATTCACAGGAGTATCCGAGTGTTGATGGGTACAGAGGTCACAGTTACAAGTATTCCATTGCTTGGAAAGCGGATGGCTGGGTACGGTGGCTGGAGGGTTTGCGGGTGGGCTACGAGAAGCGCATGCAGAATATGTGTATGATTTTGGAAGAGTGGAGGTTTATTATCGGACACTCCTCACCCTCCTCATTCGACACTGACGACTATGGAAATCGTAACGACGATTTTGACGATGATGTGGTTGGCGATGACGGTTGGCAATTCCTATTAAAAACCCCAATGTACACGTTCCAATTTCCGCGCGACGGCATGTTCGTCTGGGTACGTGTGTGCTTCGAAACACATCACTATGGTCCCAGGAAACTGCCAAAGAGCTCTCAGAAGCCATATCTGTGTCTGGTGGCGCCAGGGGTGATGTTTGATCACGCTGGAGGTAGTTGGGCTGATGGGAAGGGGAATGGTGACGCATACAGGTGTTTTAGATTGTGTTTTGCGCCTATCCCGCAAGGGGAGATGGGTGAGGCATCCAGGGTGTGTGTGGAAAGGTGTAGGGATTCTTGGATCAGGGAGTGTTTGGGGGAGGGTGATGGTGGAGATGAATGGGAGGAGGGATTATGTGGAAAAATTTTGAGATATGACCAACTTCGATCTTTGCGCTCTTGGTAATTAATTAGTAGCCATAGTTTATGTTTTCCCAGTGTATATCCGTTTTATACATGTATAAGAGAGATAGAGCGAGTGTGTGTGTGATGTTTAGATGGTTGTTTCATCGCATAGCAGCTAACCGTCAAACTTAGTACATTGGGTAGGAGGACGCTGTGGCATTGTGTCTTTGGATTTGGTATAGGAAAAGACAGCCTTTGGATATTACGATCACCCGGTCGACAATTTTTTTGGGGGTGTTTCTTTACTATTAAGTCAACCCCAGATTGGTCTTTGGCTATAGATTGTTGGATGTAAGTGAAGTTGAAATGAGAATTGACTTTTGAACTTGGGAGTCGCTAAAAGGTTTATCCGATGGGCGATTCATCAACTTTCCAACATTACATGGATATAACTCAGTAGAGCGCAGACATTGTCTTACGCGGGAGAACCAATTAAACCCGGGATTGCTAATTGTTTATGTTAATTCCCTTCCGGCCTCCACTTTTGCAGTTTTTTTAAGTCTCACGGGGACTAAAAGCAGTCGAAGGAAATCTTGTTTTATGGATCCCCGAAGAGCCTCTCACGACAATGACTTCACGCCTAAACGATGAACTCGCTGAGGAGATCGACTCTGTAAACGCAATATACGGCTCTTCCACAATAATACCAACGTCGAATTCTTCCGGTTACTTTCCCTCTGGTCCAGAACAGCTACCCCTCACCACCACAATAGTTCTGAGCATCCCGGACCACTCGGACTTCTCTTTCCTTATTGCATTCGACGAAAAATACCCCGCCACTCCTCCACGAGTAATTGGCACTGCATCAACAAGTTCTCGCGGTGAAGGAGAAAAATGGCTAAATGTACTCAGGAACTCAGTGAAGAAAGTTTGGCAAAAGGGATTTGTGTGTCTCTATGACGTTATAGAGGATTGCGCAGAACGCTTCAGTGAAATGCGAGCGGGAGAATTCGAGGAACCTTCTCGCGAAGATGGAGCCCTGGTTTCTGGATCTCGGGATATCAATGTCCCTCCACAGTCGTTACATGCATCCTTTGGCCTCGATAATCCCCCAGATTGGGTACTGTCGGATCCAATCACGGAAAAGAAATCCGTGTTTATTGCTCGTGCAGCCAGAGTCCAATCGAGGGAAACAGCTAAAAAGTATCTAGATTACCTCCTTGGCACAGAAAAGAAGGTTGCCAGTGCAACGCACAATATCACAGCCTGGCGTATTAGGCAAAAACCGGCAACGGGCTCGAGTGGTGCTCCTGCAGGTGAGGAAACTATCTTTCAAGATTTTGACGATGATGGTGAAACAGCTGCTGGTGGCAGATTGCTGCATCTCATGCAATTGATGGATGTATGGGATGTGGTCGTTGTTGTTACAAGATGGTACGGAGGAGTTAAATTGGGCCCTGATCGCTTCCGAATCATCAATATGACGGCTCGAGATGCCTTACTCAAGGGTGGATTTACGAAGTCTGAAGCCAGTTCTACCAAGGAAAAAGGCAAAAAGAAGGGTAAACGATGATTCTGCCATCTTCTATTTCCAAAACTTTAAACTTTTGCTGTCTAAATAAACGTGGACATACCGCAAGTGATTGGGTCTAGAGCTTGCTTCTTTGGTTCACCAGTTTCTCTACTTCTGCAAATCTGTAGTAGAAATTCAAACTCTCGGGGTTGGCCAATGTGCCTGATGGTTTAATTACCTTACCGGATACAATTTGCTTGACTGGGAGTTCAACCTTCTTCAAATTGACCGTTGTCTTGGATACAGTCAGCACACGACTCCCGTGAATCGGAGAAGGAACAGACTGTACTCACCGGGATTTCTGGGGTCTCAAACACATATTTTGGAACATGCCGAGGACTCAGTTCTACTTTTATGGCCTCTTGGACTTCCTCTACCAGTTTTTGAGTAAAAGAAACACCTGGGCGCATGAGCAGGAATAGCATCACTGTTTCATCCGCATCCCGCGGTCGACGTTGTCCCACACATATTGAGTCAGCAATCTCATTGGCGAACTTTGTTTCAAGAACGCTGTATATTTCCGCAGATCCAAACCGCACCCCTGATGGGTTGAGAACACCATCTGCGCGTCCCAGGAAAAATATTTGTTTGGTGGTGGGATGGATCATGATAAAGTCGCCGTGGGTCCAAACATCTAATAGATCGTTAGCGAATGACCTCTCTTCGGGAAAGGAGTTGGATCGAAATACCATCAAATCGAGCAAAATAAGCATCGAAATAGCGTTGTGGTCCGTTCTCTCCCCAAAACATAACGGGCATGTTAGGGAATGCAGCGGTGGCTACTAATTCCCCCGGAACGCCATGTTCGAGTGGAATCCCTTTTACCCCTTTTCCGCCTTCCACTGTCTGATCGTAGACAGCAATAGGGGTTCCAAGGCTGGGCCCTTGGCATCCGCCGACATACAACGGTGTCAACGCATTTTCGGTCCCGAATGTACCCGCAATATCCGTGCCACCGGAAATATTGGCCAATTGTACTGTAGTCGGGAATCCTTCATCATAAAACCACTCGAAAAGGGCATCAGAAAGCACCATTCCGGTACTTGTTACGACCTTCAGATTGCTAAGATCAACTATTTCTCGGGGTCGGATGCCGTTCTTTTGTAATTCATGCATATATCGTGGAGATGTTCCCAGGTGGGTAACCCTGACTTGGTTAGAATGGTGCCTTTGCAATCAGTTTGAGATAGAACTCACTTCTGCTCTCCCGCGAGTTTGACAAACGCAGTCACATCGGGCAACAGTGGGCTACCGTCATACAAAATCACCCTGCATCCCAGCAATAATGGCTGCAGTGCCGCGAGATACATAATCCATCCTGTTGTTGTGTACTGCATAGCCACGGAATCTGACCTCAATTCTCGGTGCAGTTTTGATTCTTTCATTCCAGTGAAAACAACACCTCCAACTGAGTGCACGATACATTTTGGGATTCCGGTGGTGCCTGATGATGCCTTTCGTATTAGGCCTTTGTGTTGAAACGACAAAGCTTTGGAACATGCTCTTACCCGATGAATATACGATCAAAAATGGATCACTGAATTTGACTCTCACAAATTCCAACCTATCTGACGTCCTCTTCGACAAGAAGGCAGCCAAAGTTTGCGTCCTAGGCACCGCGCTCACATCAGCAGGGCGATCTTGGAATCGAGGCTGTGACACGATGCCTTGAAACTCCTCCACCGCTTCCATTCCCTCAACGATCTCTTTCATCTTCGATCTCAAATCAAGGGTCCTTCCGTTATACACTGTCCAGTCATCCATAAACACCCATCGAGGCTTGATCTGTAGCAAACGATCCAAAATTCCCTTCACTCCCATATCAGTGGAGCTCGAAGAAAATAACCCTCCAAGCGCAGTCACAGCCAGAAACACGACAAGTGTATCAAAGCTATTACTCGCAACGACGGCCACCCTATCCCCCTTCTTCACACCAGCAGTCTTCATAGCCTGCGACAAATGGCCAACTCTCCTTCTCAGTTCCCCCCAAGAGACATTCCTCCTTCCCTCCAAACCAGCCTCTCTCACCTCCGTCAGAGCAATCTTCTCATCTTCCTTGCCTGTCGTGCACACAACTGAAGGCGACACACTAGTTGGTCCAGCAGTAAAAAGAGCGTTTTCAGCGAAATTCATATAGATGCCCTCGAACCATTCAGGGACGCTGTCCATGCGTGCAGACTCATCGACCACTGTCGTGTAGCTGCCTGAGTGGATCGGGCTGAGGTCGTGCCAGCAGAAATCCCAAAATGCTGCACGGTTTTGGACGGAGTAGTCGTACAAGGAGAGGTAGTCCTGAAAATTTGTTTTCATGTTAACTTGCCAAAAATCATTTGGTCCATATCCTCGGCAAAGGGGAGAGTGTCATCGCTTGCAAACTATCATCGAGGACGAAAAAGGCCAAACGACACAACATGCTAGGTCTAACAAAAATAACCGCACAAATGCAGCAAATAATTGTGATATCGATTACCGCCAACTACTTCACATGGCAATGGTGGTTCTTCCTACATTCCACCACACCAACCAATGCTCAAAAATATAGGCTGTCTGTTGAAGGATAGCACGAAAAGGAAAACCTCAAAAATCCAAGTCAAGCATAGGCACAGAACAAATTGAAAAACAAATCAAAATCTGTAATTGGAACACGTATATACCGGAAACTTCAACCCGGTCTTGCGCTCCAACCGTCGTCGAAATTGGCCGAGATTTGACGACTCGGGATCGGGATGCTCCCATAGTTTGCGGGGTACAGCGTACGTGGACATGATATGATATATCTAGATAGTGAGATAAGTGCTTCGAATACCACTCAAACGCGAGGTGGAACCAACAACAACTCCGTTATATGTAACAATATCTTGAATAACTTTGAAATCCAGCAGCCACGGACTGTTTGTTTGCTACCGAATACCCAAGCAACAGGATAGCAAGATGATGTTATATACGGATGCCAAGGCACGGCCATCCTCCGCGCATCCCATTTTTATGAAGGCTTCCCCAACATTAGCTCGAGATTGTGAGCTGCTCAATTTATCCGCGGTGCTTGTCTCTGCTGCTATCCGACATTTTGTCTGTGCTGCTGCTTTTACCTTTTCGGCCTAAGCAGGGTCATTTGGCGATGCTAGTGCCGACTTCCTCGGCCCTTTGCGTCCTAGATTGCCGGCAAAGCGGCTATATCTTGTAAAGCTAGTGGAGTTCAGGAATTTTACTTGGTATTTATGGGTGAAATAGATAGGGACCGAGGAAATATGTAGGTTATTCTTATTCTTATTCTTATTCTTATTCATGGCTCTACAGTCAGATTCTATGATTGCCAATACTCTAGATACATGATATATGTCATCCTTGATGAGAGTGATTTCAACCACACCCATTTAGATAGGTCTCAGCCCTTAGGCCCTGTATAGATCTGTCTAACAATCTTTATCAAAGCAGGAGGGGGACAAAGGCGCTGACATCCTTATATCTAATTCACGCGCTTTCGATCTCGTTCTGTATATGAATAGGAAATGTGTAGTTGCTTTTCTGAGAGGGGTTTCATCATTACCGCAACCCTATAGATGGACGGTCTTTCATTATTCCATGTATGTGAGGAGCTGGTCATCTTGGGGATTTTTGACCCTAAATCTGGCCAGCCGTTCGACGTAATAATTTTTCGTTGAGATGAAAACCTTTCCAACGGTAGAAATGAAACATAGCACACAACGGGCGCCTAATGCTCACACCCATCCATCGGCATCTTTACCATCGTCGTTTTAACAATGGAAATATATCCGTCCAACTTAACGTGAATGAGCAATAGGAGTCTCCATTTTATCTCAAACATGCAGTGAGTCCTAGATGTGCGAAACGTCAACCACTTGGCTGGATGTTATACACTCTCTGCCATCCAGCCAGTCACTCTGTCACCGCCGGCCATGACACAGAGGCCTGAAGAGGAACCCCGATAAACCAGGTTAACAAATATGATTCTAAAAAAAGAAATATATGTTCTCAAACGCGAAACAAAAACTGGAAAACAAGTCATCATTCAGGCCCCTCAACCTCGCAAAGTGTTAGGCTGGATGGAGAGTAGCCAATGAATACGCGAAGTGGGCAATTTTCAGAAAGAGCTGGCGTAGCCAAAAGAAGTTGTGGATTGGTGATTAAAACGCCATCGTCTGTTCCTTTCAATGATGGCTGCCCAGTGTTTCGAAACTGGTTGTTTAAGAGATAAAATGGATTTTTTCAGGTGGTTAAAGGATGTTTGCTTGTGTCCTATCTCACCTATTGCACCATCGAGATCCCATACACTGTCTAACCGAATGGTCCACCCCACCATATATGGGACTTAGTGATGATACTCCAGCTTCAAAATTCTCCAGATCCTTAATTGGTGAAGTGGGGGGAGGGGGGGTTCTCTGCATGTCGGCTTGCGGAGTAGATACACCACATGCTACGGAGGATTTCTTTACTAGCGAAGCGCTGGGTGATCGAACAAAATACTTTAGAAGTTATCACGAAATGGCTTGTGATTTGTGATTTCATTTATTTCCTTGCTTGTATGTACTCTGCACGAAATATAAAAAGGAGAACAAGGTAATACAAGATCATCGGGTGATCAATCGGTCAATCATAGAGAATGATGCGCTGTCGAGTTCTTAACGTCCACGAAGGCTATTGGCAGACTCGTATAGTTGTTGCTGCAGGTTCTCGATCATTGACAAAAGAGAACAAGCCAGTTCAGCGCTTATGCCGAACTGACATTCTTCTCATTATGCACATCAAAGCAACCCAAAAGGCAACCCGGTCATCGGGTTGTGTATTCATATATATATATACATATATATCTTCATTGGACGAAGAGGTTTTGCGTTTAGAAAGGAGGATTCATACAATCACTTGAGAATGGACCCTCCATCGTATAACTATATGTATGACCAGCAGATACGATCACATTCGAGAAAACTTCAGCGCTCTTCAGATATTGAAAAATGCATATCTTATTGGAACTCAAAAGCTAATTGCAAAATAATAATATGTATCACGGAAATTAACGCTCGATGCCTGCCCCAGTTGACAAATGAAGTTGATGCTTGTCAGAAAAACCACATTAGGTTTTCGTTCCCAACAGCGGGTGTTTCAGGTTTTGGGATAAAGTTTGCGGATCTAGATTTCTGGATGAAGCCGTCCATTCCTTGTAACCTTATCGGAGAGAATCCGAAGTAGCTTGTTCTGGCAAATCTAACTTTTCACACTGCACGCAGCATAGCAGGAATAATGTAGCTGGGCAGGGGGTGGGGTTGGGAGAGGTAAATACGTGAGATAAGGTCATTCAACGCAACTTACTTGAGATTTAGAGCAGAGAAAATATAAAAAATAATAAATAAAAAATAAAAAGCGTTTGGAAAACTAGATACCTCCTCTCTTGGCTTATCTCTTCAGTGTATCTACTCTAGGAGGTGCTCGAGTAAATAGTACGGAAAAGTCGCGGAAGACAAAATAAACACAATCCCACGAGGCCAGGACCAGGGGTGAGAAAAGTTTCTCGCGCCGTCAAACCTCCAAAAGGGAAAACGAAACCGAGAGAGAAAAAACGCCCACCAACCCCTCAAGCTGAGCAGGTTTTTCTTGTGGATAAAAATTTCTTGAAACTTGGCGTCGAGTCTCTGCTGCATCTTCTATAGGTTGCAGGGTTTCTACGTGCTGGGCCAGTAGAATTGACCAAGGCGGGGGTGCACATGGGATGCAAAAGATTTTCGCCCCTGTGGGTCAACCTTATTCGTTCTACTCAGTCTTAGAACATACCAGATACTATTCTGTGCCTTCGCTTGGTGTTCGGGAGCAAATTTTTTCATGCGCTCGTTCCAGTGGCTTGAGATTTTTTGTTTCTTTTCTTGTTTTACGCATGTTGAAATAAAGGGTTGTGAGACCCTCGAAGTCCAACTTCCGCTGAGCATTGTATCTAGAGATAGAGGATCAATAAGAGAGTAGCAAGAACAACAACCGTGAGAATTGCGGAAGATTGGAAGATTCTCGTTCATTTCAATAGGCTCCCTTCCAAAGAGAAATAATGATGGAGATAATCCCGAGCGCCATAATTATTTGATGATTATTCCATGGATATTCAACCAGCAGCAGGTGGTTTTCAACGGTAATGCCGCTGTAACTTTCTCGAGATATGGCGCGTAAATTTGTGGGACATGCCGCAAACGGTTGAACCACTCCTTGGACTCCATCAAATAATATCTCAGAGAGAGAAAGTGTGTCAAAAGCAGAAACGTGATTCTCACATCGATTTGCTGCATTGCTGCAAGGGGGTTGAGTGCTTGCCACAAGCTGCTGGCAACTGCGGGAAGATACACTCACTGTCCCCCGGCTCTGAGAGGCGAGGCTGATGCTCCAGGGCATGTTCAACCCCGTTGGGTTGGGTTCCTTTGCAACATTTGGGCAACGAGAAACACTTTGCGCGGGGATGTATTCGGTAACTAACTACCCGTACCTGGGGTCTAAGTTAACGATGTGATGTCCTTCGGCTTCTCCCTCATATTACTTTTCTTTCTCCCTGTCTGTGTCGGATGTTGCGATGAACGATCGAAACATCATACGCTGAGTGGCCAGTGCCAAGGGTAGGGTCTCCAGACCGGCGTCACTCGCGCGACGCGAAACACTGCATCGTGGTGGGGATTGGCTCAGCTGCATTAGCATGTTTCGAATTTCTCGTTCTGGGCTCCGCCATGCAAAAATTTGACCTTCCCTTCTCAGGTGATGGTTGTAACCAGCCAAAACTCTGTGGGCCAATGGCCTCGAAGTACCTCCCTTGACATCATCTATTCTGCAACTTCTGGTCCTGACCTAACTAATGCAGCCAAATGGGCCGCTTCGGGAGGCACAGGATGTGGATATTAACTCGCCCTAGCGTGCAGGCAGGGGGGGATGACAGGCTTGCAGTCAATGCTGGTATTGTCCACGCTTTTTGAGAGTATCCGGAGGGTCGCCCGGTGAAGGCGTGGCCTGGTATTCGGTGCACTCTCTTCTCTCCTGACAGACCACCGCGCTATATTAACCTCGCCGCCCGCCTACCGACCATGGTTGTTTTATTTCCTTTCCCTTCTCACGCTGGACCGTTTTGACTCTATCCACATCCCAGTTCAATCTCTCATCCTCTCATCCTCGTTCGGGGTTTTGTTAGATTTTGTTTCTTCGACTTAGGATAACAGGACTGGTTCCTAGTTCACACTCACTCAGTCTCTCCCTATCTTTAAAACACCAGAAACAACTTCCAACCCTGGGCTCTGTTTCATGCTTGCCTGTGGCATTTTGTTAAAGAGTCTCTATACTTTCCTTGGAAATAGTCAAAGCAAGTCTGCGTGGTCAGAAAGAATATATCCATAGCTTCTCGGGAGCATTGTCAGGCAAAGCGAACTCTCAGCAAATTATCACTTTTCTGTTCTGTGAACTGCTACAGGACTGCTCTCTACGAAGGTAAACTTCTTCTCTTCTGTGTTATGTCGCAACTGCTGGAACTTTCCGGCATCTGAGATGTGACCTATTTTTGATATTCAATACATCTTTGACCTTCCTTTAACTGGTGTTTTCTCTATTCTCTTTTCCAGAACAGAACATTACATTCACATTTTTGCATCACTCCTGTGTTCTGGATTCTTCTTGTTGCATTTACTGACAGTCTCTAATAAGATTCGCTCCTTTTCTTGCTCGACTACTATCTACTCTTCCCCTCGCTATTCAGTGGGTTATTACAGTCCCTATCGAAACCACTTTCTCTTACTCTCCAAGGCTCTCGTCTGGAACGAGTTATCTGAGAAGATATAAGGAGCTCTTGAACCTTAGTTCAGTGCACACATTCCTTCAAAACCCAGTCGCCAGAGCAACACAACATACAGATCGCTTCTGTGAAGCCCATCCACCAAATCACCAAACTTTCTTCCCATTAAATCGACGATCAAAAGAAAAGGAGAGGAAAATACGTATAGCCATGCATTTTTCAACCTCATTTGTGGCTGCGGTCGCAGCTTTGTTGTCCGCTAGCACCGTAGATGCCCACATGGTCATCACCTCACCAACTCCATTCAATCCCGAACATCTGACCAACAGTCCCCTCGATCCTAGCGGAGCAGATTTCCCCTGCAAATTTAGCGATACGTACACTGCTGGTAACGGCGCAGTTCCTGCTGAAAATATTTTCCCAGCCGGTTCCCAGCAGACCCTGTCATTCAAAGGCAGCGCTGTTCACGGCGGTGGATCCTGCCAGCTCTCCATCACCGAAGACAAACTGCCTCATAAGGGCTCTGTCTGGAAAGTCATCCACTCCATCGAGGGGGGCTGTCCTTCTTCAGCAGATGGTAATCTATCGGAGGACGCCAACGGATCTGGTGCCTCCGTATTCAAATTCCAGATTCCCGACACCATCAAGCCGGCTGACTACACCTTCGCCTGGACCTGGTATAACCGAATCGGCAACCGCGAGCTCTACATGAACTGTGCTGCGATCACCGTCACTGCAGCTGTCAAGCGTCGCTACGCTCCCCTCTCAACCGCCCAGACCGCCAACCACGTCTCCCTCTCCAAACGCCAAGATCTACCAATGATGTTCGTGGCTAACATCAACGGCTGCACCACCAGCGAGGGCAAAGACATTCGCTTCCCAAACCCGGGAGACTCTGTTCAGTATGCAGGCAAGCCCTTAAACCTCATGGGAACCGACCAACCCATCTGCAGCTGGAAGGATGGCAAACCTGGTCCTATGCCTGGTAATGGGAGTGGCGGTTCCAAACCCCAACCTTCATCTACCGTTTCTGTTGCGCCTCAATATCCAACTCCAGAATCGATTCCTGTTTCGCCGCCCGCTTCTCCTAGTGTCGATGTGCCCTCAGGCTACGCATCGGTCCCAATAGCCTCCCGGCCATTTAACGCCCCAGTAGTCTCCCCGGGCTTTTTCGCAACACAGAAATTCTCGGCACCAGAACCCTCTGCCACTCCAGCTTCACCCCTATCCGCACCCAATCCTGGCGCTGGCGCTGGCACTACTACAGACAAGAATTCCAGCAGCAACAGCAGCGGTAGCGACGGCAACGGCGGTTCCATGAATGGCCCATGCTCAAACGAGGGTGAATGGAACTGCTTTGGTAACGGCCTGAAATTACAACGTTGTGCGAGCGGTGTGTGGTCTGCCGTGACCAAGGTTGCGCAAGGAACTAAGTGCACATCCAACGCTGGAAACATTGTCATCTTAGCGGCGAAGCGTGGTGTTGTCTCTCCAGCTAAGATGCATCGACGAAGGGGCCATGGTTCGCATCTGTCGTGAGGCTAAATAAACACAGGAAAAAGAAAATCGAAATTCCTAAGTATGGCGGAAAGCAGCTGATTGGTCAACTTTGGCCAATGTCGGGAAATTAAAGGAATAGTTATCATATAGGACTTGATATAAATTCTTTGCTGCACTAGCCTTCTGATTTCTCATACCCTCAGCCCCCTTCTTTTCTCCTTTCTGGTCTTATGTGGTGGTCTACAGCATCTGTTCATGTGGAGTTTGACTTACGGAAGTTATCTACAGCTCATTTTGCCGTCATTCCACTTGTTGCTCTTGATATCCTCTTCGTTGTCATATAATTATTGGGTCTGGCCATCATGTTTTCCTGAGTAGAGACAACTGTCCGTCATCTTCTGTAAACTTTCTTTTCATTTCGTTAATTCCTGTCATTCTCCTGTGACTGGGATTTCTTTGTCAAATACCGGACCTTCTACGTTTCGCTTCTTTTTCTTTCCTTAGCTTCACTTCAGTTCAAACTCTTGTCTTCACATAACCCTTTTGTGCTCAAGTTAGTTTATACCACTGTTCATAGAAACCTTCACGCGATCAACAAAAGATTTTTTAAAAAGAGAGTATCCCTTGCCAAATTTCTATTTGGTAGCATTCGTTATAAAAAGCAAAAATAAAACAAATCAAAAATAACCTGGTCCTTGTTTTAACAACAGATCCCCCTTTTAATACCAAACCCTCCAGTTCTCGTCTAAGTCCGCCAGGTAAACTTCCTTTCCCCAGGAAATCATCTTGTGTATCTCACCTCGTATCTTTAGAATTATGGCTGGGTACAGTGCAGTGGGGTGGCGAATCTGTTATTCTGTCCATTGACTAGCACTGCTCCATATACTAAATATGTGATCGGTCACTAAAACGTTTTGCATCGTATGCTCTTCCTTGTAGTTATCCCGAAGACAAGTAATGAATCATCTCAGTATCTACGACTAGATTTGAAAAGAAAGTAATGACAAAATTATCGTCATCCACAGCTCAGCCAAGGATGAGAAGCAATTCCGGCAATGCTTATGTCCGAAGATCAATTAGCAAGAAAGCTCTTTGGATGTTGTTTCGAAGCCGCAATCTTCTCGTCATGTTAGAGCAACAAGGAGAAAGTTGAATTCGAACATCACGTGAGTAAAATCTTACCTAAGCTGCCAAGCTGCCCAATCAGGAAATCAGGGCTTAGGGTTTGCAACCTTACCGACGAGCCCCCTTCCAAACCAAGCGAAACCCACATTGAAAGTCCGTGGATTTGAAGTCGCCAACGTCTGCTTTCAACAATCACCGCCAACGACGGCCAGCAACAAATCGACAAAATGGCATCTCGCCCAACTGTCACCATCGCTAATGCTGAGGGCAAGCCCAGCGGTGAAACTCACCCTTTGCCCGCTGTTTTCACATCGCCAATCCGACCCGACATTGTCCAGTAAGCCTGCGAGCGGAAGACTAAGAATATTGGTGGTGGTTAGGGGTATAAACTGATGGCGAAATTAGGTCGGTGCACACTGGTATCGCGAAAAATAAGAGACAGCCATATGCCGTGAGCGAGAAGGCCGGTGAACAAACTTCCGCTGAGTCCTGGGGTACTGGTACGTGGAAAGCAATTATACTACCAAATAAGGCGCATTGTTTTGGGAGGAAAAAGGGCAAAAAACACTGATAATCTACAGGACGTGCTGTCGCTCGTATCCCCCGTGTCTCTGGAGGAGGAACACACCGTGCTGGCCAAGCTGCTTTCGGTAATCAGTGTCGCGCCGGTCGTATGTTCGCTCCCACTAAGGTCTGGAGAAAGTGGCATCAGAAGATTAACCTTGGCCAAAAGTAAGCCTTCCAAACGGAGTTCAGTTGATGACTGACATGTGGTTGGGGGGGGAAGTGGGGGGGGAATTGAAGATGGTCAATCTGTGATTCTAATAGTGCTCTGCTAGGCGATTTGCTACCGCCTCTGCCCTGGCTGCTTCGTCCGTCCCTGCCCTTCTTTTCGCCCGTGGTCACCGTGTTGCCAGTGTCCCCGAAGTTCCCCTCGTAGTTGATTCCAAGGCCTTCGAGAACAATGCCATCGTTAAGACAAAGGCTGCCATCGCCCTTCTCAAGAACGTCGGAGCTGGCCCAGATCTCGTCAAGGTCGAGGAATCCCGCAAGATCCGCGCTGGAAAGGGCAAGATGCGTGGCCGAAGATACCGCCAACGCCGTGGACCTCTCGTCGTCTACAACCCAGATGTCGATGGAAAAGACCTAGTCAAAGCCTTCCGCAACATTCCCGGTGTTGAGACTTCCTCCGTTTTCTCCCTCAACCTCCTCCAGTTGGCCCCTGGCGGCCACCTTGGTCGCTTCATCGTCTGGACCTCTTCCGCCTTTGCCGCACTTGACGCCATCTACGGTTCTACCACCACCCCATCCGCCCTCAAGAAGGACTTCCTCCTCCCATCCAACCTCGTCTCTAACGCTGATATCACCCGCCTTATCAACTCTTCCGAAGTCCAATCTGCCCTCCGTGAGCCAAAGGGATACGCCAAGACCAAGAGAACAGGCGTCCAGAAGAAGAACCCTCTCAAAAACAGACAAGTCCTCCTCCGACTCAACCCATACGCTGCTGCCTTCTCGAAACAGAAGCTTGGCCAGAAGGGCCTTGATACCGGCAAGCCTGATCGTGCTGGTGAGACTTTCCACAAGATTCTGGCTCAGGAGTAAAGGGTTAGGGTTCCTTTTTAAAAACAAAATAATGTGATTTTGACATCTGACTCTGGAGCGCGGTTTTATTTGAGGTGTTTTTCTTTCTTTCTCTCACTTAGATGTGAATTATGCTGTTTTGATTTGCTATATCAGATGCTACACGAACGTAAGCGGGAGAAATGGATATGGTAGGAGCTGATAATCCCATATTTTCTATTTTGATTCCGGTCCTCATGTTGCTTTCTAGTCAACGGTCGTGTAGATCGTAGCCGTCCTTAAGACCCCCATCAACCATTGGATCACAATGTCACCAGATCCACGCTCCATGATATTATATTGAGCAATGTGTAAGATCAACCTGTCATCTTTCATTCCTTGAAAATGATCAAGACAGACTCAAATCTTGCACGATATAGTTTCAAGTTACTCAAAGTTATCATGGACGTAAACCTGAGAACTGATATCTGATAACTTTGACAAACGGTTGTGTGTTGCCACCCTGACGTAAGTGGATCTCCGAATCCTGAGGTTGCGCACGAATGCTTCAAACCACCATACCACGAGGGCAATGACCAAACATGATAAACTCGAAATTATCTGGGTGATTTGGCTCTCATTACACAAATTCCATTCCATCACCTACCCATCACAATATTAAACGCAATTGACGTCCCTTCATCCCTTGTGTCAGTGAGACATTCGTAATAAGACACCCCAGGATGATGCTAAGCTGCATAATATGGATTGGCTTCGGGATGAAAGAGCAAGGAACAGGACCCCAAGGTGCAGGGATGGGAACGCCCCTCTCCCCCCTCCAGAGAGCTGTAATCCGAGCGATACGTGGCTCTGTGGTTACTAACCAACCAGCTTAACTACTAACTAGTTAGTAGTTAACTAGTTAGTTAACTACCTAAGCTGGTAGAGTTTTCTTTTCGAGTTTCATAAACACATGTTTGCATCCAGTTTCCAGCACGCATAACTGGTTGCTGGGAAAAAAAAAGGACCCAAGGTCAGCAGTTAATTCTCCCACTGCCAGACTCGTCACCTAGACTTATATCGCTAAGCTTCCGAGGCAATATGCTTAGGAATCATCTCAAGCCGAACCGCTTGCCCTATTTCTATATAACAAGCCTCAAACTGCCGAATCTAACCCGGTTAGTTAGAGAGTCAGAACCCAGCTTTTGGTACACTAACTTAGCTGCTAAACGGCATCTCCCGGTCACATTCGTCCCTTGAAATTTGAACCCCGCAGGCGCAAGTTGAACTTGAACCTAGGTCCCTGGCAAATATCCCCTTGGTTCTTAGCCAGAGTTGCCCACTGCAAGCCATACCAAAGTAAATTACGAAATCAAGGGCTGTGCGCATGTTTTTATTGGACCGGAGGAACCCCTCTCCGGACAGATATGGACCTCCCAGAGCAGGGACCATTATCCTAAACCAACATCCTGAGAAACTGAAACCTCAGATGCTGGGCAGTCACGGAGGCTGAGTTTTCCTCGCTTGTTCATCAAAGTTTTCTGCATTCGTATCGGGACTGGAAATTTGAAACAGACATCTTCGTCAAGATCCAGTGCCATGCCATAATGGAAGAGAGAAAACCAAGCTCACTACTATTCTTCTCTTTGAGACGGCAACTGGGTGTTGGGACATTGGAAGAGTTTCCGAGCTCTGACAATTCCAGGTCCCGGCATGCCGATCGTTTGATAATCAAATTCACCGTTGCAACGGTCCAAAATACAAAAAGGGAAAAGAAAACGAATCAAATATATGTCGAGACAAAACTCAGCCAACCCACGCCCATTGTCGTACCTCCGCATAATCCATACATACCCTGTCAACGGCTCTCGGACCCTTTCGTTTTCAGGCTCCTCTAATCAATGCTAAATTAGCCGCACTTATTTACTCGCCTGGTTCCAGGCGCTTGGTGTGGGCAATATTGTCAGCCTTGCAAAGCCCGTTCAAAGGGCAAGAATTCCTTTCGTGGTTTGGCAGCAGCAGCTCTCTTTTAGATATTCACATGTTATGAAGAGTAGTTTATGCGCATCAAGTATATATTAGTCACTAACAGGAAAACAATGCCACCTAGATATGCCATGCTTTTGCACTGGCATCGCGCACTCAATTTAGGAGGAGAAGTGGAAGCTGCATTAATTGAAGTTAGCATGGCCGGACATCAACAATCTATTTGCCATCCTTACAGCTGAGATTAATTAACCAGTTGCTCAACTTACCAAAGCGGATAGCTCGATTGCTGCAGCATGGAAGCTGAACCCGCACCAGATGATGGAGAAAGGGAGGGTATCCAAGGACGAGAAATCAATCCACAGCTGCTGCAGACAACAATATGAGATGAGATGATCAAGGAGAAAGCATCAGTCGTCCTCGCGTGCGGCGGCACATAGTCAAATTATTCATGTAGACACCAACGTAGATGGATCTGTAAAAGAAATAGATCTGTAGATGAAGCAAATCCGGGGAAGCCGATGATATTTTATTCACCATAGAGATAAGCAGCAATGTCTGAAAGAGGACTGACACATGTTGTTATCAACCTTGTCTACAGCGTGTCTTCTGCAGTCTACCTTGAAGGTATGTTTTTGTGTGGGTATGTTTGTGTGTAAGTATGTATATGTACCTAGTACTGAAATGATGTCATCTATCGCGAAATTTCTTGCAGACACTTTGGTCGCAGTTCACACACGAATCAACTGGAAGTTTGAGCTGCACTTTGATGCTTTTCTAACAACATGTAAGCACTCCTCTGACAAGTCTTCTCCCTGTCCAGGCGGCCTTCTCAGTGACAAAGAGCACTCCGTACGACGTGACATTCATGTTCAAAAACGGCAAACACAACGAAATGCCAGCCTAACGCGTTCGGGAATCCGTTCTTCCGTTTGTCTCATTTACAGTTGGCTTCCAGCTGGACATGCTTCTACACGTGAGGTCTTCTGATAACCGGGGATTGGCAAAGAATGAGATTTCAAAAGCAGATAATAAGCACTGTTCAAAAGCAGATAGATAAGCACTGGTTTAATGCCGAAGTCTCTCGCTTGTGGTTGGGCTGTATCGTGATCCGTCCATGGGGCCGTGGATGGATGTTAAGATTTTCCAAGGCCCCTAGAATCTTACATACACACACCCCTGACCGGCATCATCCAGCAATCATGGGTTGCTGTACAACTGCCGCACAGCCATCAGCAAGGGCCACGGCATTCCAAGGTTAGGCGAGGGTAGTCTATCCAATCCCTCCCACCTCGATGAGATCCCCCTGAAGACGCACACGAGATTATACATCAGGGCACAGAGAGCGAGCATGAGTTCAGCTGCATGGCTCGCAGGGCCCCTTTGCGTTTAATTTCTACCCTGGCTCTTATTTTTATTATATACTGGTGTACTCCGTATTTCTTGATTTATTTTTATCTTTATTTTTGTTACTTTTGTGGCGGGACTCGTGAGCCGCAAGGCAAGAAGCAAATGACGCTTATCACGCCGATTCACCAGGCTAAGAATTAGCCTTGCCACCGTTGCTTTTTAGGTGCTTTTCCGAGTTACCCTGCGCATCTTCTTCGACCTCTTGATATCCCTGTGCCTCCCCTTACCTTTCTCCACTCCCTCCCTCCCTCAATTTTGCGAGACTTTAGAATTGCCGAAGCACAGCAGAGCAGTGTGGTCCCCGGCAGGAATCTATCTTGAGCGGCGCTGGATTTGTTGCTCTCTGAGGATGCATTCTCTTAAGAAACAGGCGGCAGTTTGCTAGCTGCATTGTCCGCGGCTGGGGCGAAGTCATTCCTCTGGCCTGCCTGTGCTTCAATATCATTTTCATCTGCCGATGCACCCAAATATCCCTTTTTTAACCACGCTGTATGCAAAGCCTGTTTATTTGCTTCTCTTTATCAAAACCATAAACGGATTCTACTTTGTCCTATCCCGTAACAGGGGTCCCGGGCGGTCGTGTGCCTTCATTCGTTCGGCTACGTAGATTCGTTTGCGGAAGAAGGTTTCGAAAGACGGCGGGTTCATTACTTGCAACCCTGTCAGGAACTCTTTCATGTCTGCACTATTTACTTGTCACAACTCGTGGCCTCAGAATAACAAGAAAGGAAAGGGATTGTCAAACTCCTCAGCAAAGCCACTTGGATTTTCCATTTCCTATCTAGATACAAGCAAACTCTCACGGTGTGGATGATTTGACTTGCTGGGTGAAAGTCGGCAACTTTCTCCTGAAGAGCCGACATTTGACCCCAAGGGCAAGGCCAAGAGACGTCATTTACTCTTACGGTTACTATGGGACCCTTAGGGTGCATGTTACCCCTTCCCAAGGACAGTCCCACTCCGGAGGAGTCGAAAGACACCTCAACGCCCCCAAGATGGTTAACCAAGTATCGCCTTCCTCCTCCTCGAAAGCTTGGTTCTTGGGAGTTGGGATCAGATGAGTCTGTGGTGCCGCCGGAGTTGATAGATTCCTCAGGTTCTGCAGCCAGTGTACAGGCTCCTCAGAGTAACAGCAATCGATATCAACAGCAAGAGCAGTTACCACCGGTCAGACAACTACTTACACCAGTATCTTATTCCGACGTACCAAACTCCCACTACTATTTCCCAGGACGCAGAAACTCTCCGCTGTACAGCAGCGGGACACATGGATCTTCTCCAACCGGTGAGGCCTACGATGCACGCACCCTGACAACTAGGTATCCAAGCTATGGCCGCGTCTCAAGCCCAATGAGACCACCGGTACCAGACTCTGTTGAACCATCATACGGACGCGGACAGTACCCAGCATATTCTCGAGAGCAGCTACCTCCGCTCTCCCATGTTGGGTTAAGTCTCACGAGCTTGCCGTCCCACCATTTTCCCGATTACACGAGAAACAGCGATGACGCACCTTTAACGCGTTACCACCATAACCAGCTTCCGTTTGAACGAGACCTGCCTAATTCTGAAGCATCTCCAGTATCCAATACGTCCTCACTGGCTACTGAGACTGCTTTGCGCTCAGCTTCACCGACTAGCAAAAGTCAGCCTCGACTGGCTCATGTGGTAGACGAGCGCTATATTGGGAGTGAGGGTCTATGTTACATATACTCCGATGGTACCCATTGCCCTAAGCTGATTGATGGGGAGCTCGTCAATGCCAACTGGGGGATCACGAAAGCTGGTAAGCCAAGGAAGCGGTTGGCGCAAGCATGTATAACGTGCAGAGATAAGAAAATCAAATGCATCCCGAACGTTCCCAAGTGTGATCAGTGCCAGAAGTCAGGGAGAGAGTGCAAATTTGAAAATGCGTGAGTCTAGAAGCCGCTCTTTGTCTAGGAAAATAGGTTTGATTTAACAAAGTTTTATTCCCTTCTGTAGGCCTCGTGGAAACCAAGCTGCGAAGGCTTTGCAACAATTGCCCATAGCTTCTGAACAGACAGTGGATCGCCACGGCTCATCAACAGTATCGACGATATCCCATAACCAACGGACGGATTACCCGGCGAGTGGATACTCAACATCAAGTTTGTCCATCGGGAGCCCGCGTGATTTGATGTCAACTTCTAGCCATTCGAACGACTCAGGTACAACGATGCACGAAATGGCAGGCCCATGTCTAGACTTTAACAGACCTCTAAAACGGAGACGGCGATCCTCCGCGAATGCCATTGACCACGCTGGGCACAATCCTAAACCAAACAAAGATATGACAACGGCTTCTGATTCACACACCGTGGTTGATATTTTGTCGGACATGGCTGCCATGGACCTCCACGATCCGACGCTATCGGAATGGGAAACAGACCCTTACCAAAACCACCCCGAATCAACCATGCACTATGTCGATAGGTATTTCAAATATGTTAACGGTGCAACCTACTGTATATTTCCTCGAGAACCATTTATTAGATGGCTCAGGTTTTGTGTGAATAAATCTCTTGATGACAAAATGTTGTTGTATGCTATGCTTGCTATGGGTGCTATTTTCGGCAACAGCAAGGAGCACAGAGCAGATGCAATGAGGTTTGCGAGAATAGCAAGACATGCTGTGGAGAAGAGTCAAAATAGCCCGACTTTACATCTAGCTCAAACTCGAATTATCCTTGGCATGTGGCATTTCACAATCGGCGCATCCGCGACAGCGTCTGATTTTACGGGCTCTGCAATGCGGACTATATGTGGGCTGAAACTTAACGTTGAACATGGGGCTTCAACATCCGGGAGTTCGCCTGAGTGGGACGAGTTTTTCCAGGCTGAAACCATCCTAGAGTGCCAGAGGAGGACCTTTTGGGCTGCTTTCCTTATGGATGTTAGTTTCTCTATCCAAATTCTTCATTTTTCCGCTCTCGCAAACCGAAGCCCATTTTCTGACACTTTTGCAGAGACATACCTCCCTTGAAGCCCACTTCCCTACGGTGCTCAAGCCACAAGATATCTTCCTGCGATTACCATTAAGGGAAGACTGGTATGAGAGTCAAAAATGGGCTAATATGCCCTACTTCGAAAATGGTATCATACTCTCAGATGTCTCTCTACTGGAGGAAAGGAATGCGCTTGATCCGATGGCTTTCTTGGTTGAGGTTTCTGCCATTTGGGGGGATGTGCTTGAGCATATTTATCGTTCTACCTATGTCTCATCTCCAAATTACGAGGTGCGGTTCGGAGAATTCTACGATTCAACCGTGAAGCGTACCGATAAATGGCTTGCTAGTCTCCCACAGTACTTCTCCTACAATGTTCGAAATCTGGAACTGAGCGTCCAGGCCGGAAAAGCAGATGTATTTGTCAGTGTGCATATCTTGTACCACGCAACCATGATGAGATTGAACCGGTATGCTCGCTACGAGGACCTACCGTATCATATAGTTGAGCGAAATGTCCGCCGTTCCCACCAGCACTCCATCGACGTCCTCCGCATCGCCTTTGATCTCAGCCAATTCCTGAATACTAGCAATAAAAGTAAAAGCAGCTCATCGACTACAAAAACCACCTTTTCCACCCCCCTGACAGGAAATGCCATACTATCAGCCACTGATGTCCTCTCTGCCGGTGGCTCCATTCGTGAAGCACCATACTATCTCCAACTAATAAGTGCTGGCATGGACCTGACTGCTGAAGTTGCACGGTTCTGGCACAGCGCACGCGAGCAGCTACGAATTATGGAACTGCGCGTGGGGAAGGTAACGGACGCCATTCGTGCACATGGCTTACAGGGCGAGAAGCGTGGATTTGCCGTCCAGGGACTCCCGCTAGATCTCATTCTAGTGGATAAACTAATGCCTAACAATGAGGCTCCCGGTGCCCATGCTGCACCTACGAAACCTTCGAAAATGCAAGGGAGTACCAACCCTTCGATCACAGCTAAGAGAGGCGATTTGGTCTATTGTCTTACGCGAGACGAATATTTTCGTGCGCTTGGACTCAACGACATTTCGGTGCAGAGGGGTGAGGTGTTGTGGATTTCCTGCGAGGTTGAAAAATGATTGAGATCAGATCAAGCTGACTTGGTTTGGTTTGGTTTATTTTCTACAGGCATTTCCATGCTCTTACCTTTTTTCCCGGTGTGGTGGATCTCCCACACCCCTTGTGCTTCACTTCTTCTTCTTCTTCTTCTTCTTCTTCTTCTTCTTCTTCTTCTTCTTCTTTTTTCCCTTTCTTTCTTTTTATCTTCTTCTTATTCCTTGAGAAGCGTGCATGTCGGAGCTTGTCGTTTGCTTTTTTTTGTTTCCTTCGAAGTGAATTGCTTGCATTCCAAGATCCATAACCACCCCCCCCATCCCCCCCTCCACTCTTCCTCCGGTGGAACATTCTGTTCTTTTTTGGATCTTTGTTTTTATCTTTTTCTGTTTCTCCACTGTTATCCTCGTAATGCATTTAATTGTCATGAATTCTTTTTGCAACACCAGAAAGATGGTAGGTAAGCAATACCTTGTACAGGGTTTGCTATCTTTGCTAATACTTCATTTGGTATTCTTTTGGCTTAATTTGTCCACTGCCTCGCCGTCTTCCCGCTATCTGAAAACGCCTGCTGACTCCCCCTTTTTTCGCACGTTTACTTTCTCCTCTACAGAGCATTTCACAAGGAGAAATGCTACTTTGACATATACTGTTTTCAACTCAAATTAAATATGTATTTATTTACATACCTGCATTATAGATGAGGCACCTGCGTTAGTTGTTTAAATATATGTGATCATGGTTTATGATTGATCTACAGTTTCTGTGAAATAAACCCATTCCCCTAAATTACTTCATCACCAAGAAGTTAGACATACCCTCAAAAAGCTTATGTTAAGCAAAATCAAGGAAACTCCAAATCCTGAACACCCTCATCCTTGAGAAGGCAGTGGGTGAAGATATCGTTGAATCCATACAACTCTACCCTCCGCAGGGTCCATGACAGTTGCAAAATGTGTCATTTCATTCGTGATTGGGTGGGTGCTCGTCCATTCCATGACCTCTAATGGTGCGGCAGTCACCTCTTGGTCTTGGAAGGTAGTTTGCTCGGTCTCCGGTGATAATTCCCGATTTTGAGATGTATTTGGTGGTGCCGATGAGGTGATATCTTGACATCCGCTTGCTCTTGAAGAGCGAGTTCGCTGTAATGGGTCTCGTCTGCCGGAAGTTTCTGGCGTCTCCTTGGGAAGTCTTTGTCCTTTGCCAACTCGATTTCGAGAATTTCTATGTACTTGTCTGGTCCTCGCATCCCAGAAGGATTGCATGCAAGCTTTTCGCTCTATGCTATCTTCTATTAGATCCTGCAGACCTTCTAGGCCTGTTAGTTGACATTCTTCCGGCTCGGACGTGGAAGCTCTGGTGGTTGAGTTGGTTGAATTGAGGGATTCCATTGCTAGGTCGACGTTTGTAGCTACAATGAATGACGATGAAGAGCGGGTGACGGCAGACCTGTAATCTTTCTCTAATACGGTGGTGGTAGCTCCGTCGCTCAAAATAATATACGCTGCGGTCGTGGGGGTCTGGGGAAGGGCGGCTGTGATTGCGCTTAGAGATTGCAGGTGCCATGGCTGGGCTGCTGTTGACCATACGCGGGTGAGAAAATTCCATCTCGCCGGGTTTGGTGGCAGGAGATACTGCCGAAGCAACGATGATACGGAACGTCGGATACCCAACAGCACGAGCAGACGGTTTGCATAAAATTTTAAGTTGACAAAACGCTTGCTCATGTCATGATTTGGGCGGAAATTTAGTGAAACACTGAGGTTTCGCCTCACACCAGTCAGGACTCCGACAAAACCAACGTATGTAATGCTTGTTGCGAGGACTTTTTCTGTCTCAGGACTGCGGACAAATTCCAGTTGAACTATCAACTCCCGCAGGACATCCATGCCCCAGTCAAGCGTACGAAAATGAAGCATTTTAGAACTTGAATCTTGTGCATCTCTGCATCTCGCGCCGCCGCTGGTGCATCCCATGAGCAGATCAAGGACTACATTGAGCGAGACCAGCAGGTATAAGTCGATACCAGTTGCCTTACTGATCCCTTTGATCTCCTCCGTTTCTTCATGGGTATACAGTTTGCGGAGGAATAAACGCGCCGCCCGTTTCACCCATATGACATTGATGCCAGGATGTACGGACTCGACAAGCTCATCGAAAAGACCAGTGAGAGACCTCATCTTGTCACGATAGCTTTTTGCAAGTTCAACATATCGTTTTGCAGGGGGAAGAGAGAGATCTATCCTGTGTACCGGTGGAGTATCTCCAGTAACCCCAGCTGGACCGGTGGAACGAGCCATTGCTTTATCCTTGGTCGAAGTATAGTTGCAGTTCAGAATTGATACGCTAGTTCGGGCTTTTGGTTGCTAGATTTTTAAAGGAAGTGTTTCTCATGTGCTGAATTTTGTAAACAGTCATTTTTCTTGGATACTAATAACAGAAGATTGGATAGCATGTTGTTAAACACAAACTCCACTAAATGGGCTGCCGCCTTCAGCGAGTGACCAAGCCACCAAATTGCAGCCACCAGAATTTCGGTAATATCACGAATGCATTAGAAGAGTTCCAAGGTTGAATCTGAATATTTAGTCCAAGGCACATTAGTCATACACGGTCCGTTAGTTAGTGGACTGTATGCAATTTAACACCGAATCAAAAGCAGTTAAAACTGTATGTTTAGTTACCATCTTCAAGGTTTATTGTGATGTTCCCCTTTGCGGCGGGTTATCTTAAATCCGGGGACTTCATTTTCCTCCCGGACTCCGAGCTCCAAACCTCACAAAGAAGTCAAGCATTCGGAGATAATTTTTTTTTAAACCTATGCGCCGGGACAAACCATGAATTTCCAGGTAATCTCAGTCTGATACAAGGGTTCCTTAATTGAAGATAATGCCAGAGACAAGTCGGGCCCATAAAGTCAACGGTCAAAGTACGCGCAATGGCTCCATTTCACCGTCTCTAAAGCCTGCCAGCGGCACTACGGCCAACATGTCAGAAACATATCAACAAGACAATGGAGGTGGTGGAGAAGGAGTAGGTGGTTCAGATAGCTCTGAGGGTGTTTACGAACAACTGAGAGACTACCCAGACGACCTGGACTACTACAGCTTGCTTGCCTTACCCCGGAACCCTCCGCCTACGGAGGCGCAAATCCGCTCAGCATACAAAACATTGACCCTCAGCTTCCACCCGGACAAACAACCCGAAGAGCTGCGAGCCGCGGCTGCACAGTATTACAACAAGATACGCACTGCATACGACACCCTCATTGACCCCAGGAAACGAATTGTATATGACATGTTGGGCGAAGAAGGGGTGCGGCAAACATGGGCGGAAGGGGGCTTAATGGGGAGGAACGGACTTGCTTCAAAACAACAAGTGGGGGTGAAAGCAATGGATGAAGCTGAATTCCGTAGCTGGTTCTTGGAGGTCATGAAACGACAGGAGAGAAAGTTTTTGAATGACTTGGTAGATGTCAATGTATGTTGGATTCGTTCCGGTAGATGAGAGTATACCTGGGTGTCCAAACACACCTTCCGTTTTGCGAGACCTGGCTTACCCCAATTACGCCCTTATCTAAACTTTTAATCCTGTACTGACATGGCCAAGGGCGTAATTCAACTGTCGCTGGATGCGAAATCGATGTTCCAGACCACACCGAACGGAGACATCTTAATACACATGCCTAATCCTAAGCCGTCGGGGTTCCTACTCTCATATGTTCTCCCCATACCACTACCTGATATGTCTTGGTTCGGGACATCAAAGTCGGTGACAGATAGAGATGAAGAGGAAGATGCAGACAAACCATCTATGAATAACGGAACTCCTACACAACAAAAATCCGAAACGAGCAAATTGCAGCTACAAGCTACAATAAATGGTCGGTTCGGGAATCCGGTCCAGGATGTCACAATTATGAATCAGGATACCGGAGAATCGATCAAGAGGCGGGTAGGCGATTTCCTTATCTCTCTTTTACTTCGTTTGGAAATGCTGTTTCTAACAGATGTAGATCAAAGTTCCTCTAACGATGCGTAGCGCGAACGTTAACCTTGGAGCATCTTTTGTACACACTTTCCAAAACGACGATCCAAAACAAAGGGTTCTCAGAAGACCCCTATTATCCTTCCTCGGGGGGACGGTGATGAACATCAATGCTTTCATAATCCCACAGCTCGCAGTTCAAGCAAGTATCAGTAAATCCATAACCCCAATAGAAGGCACGAAACCGTTCTCCCTCACTTTGAAATCCAGCTTCACTTCTGCTCCCACGCAATGTCCTCCAGAACTAGGTCTGTCGTTATCGCGTATGATAGGTGCTGGGGGTGTTGTTACTTGCAGCTGGGTATCTGGAACCTTGTCCTGGCCCGGATATCTTCAGGATTTGTGGAGTAATATAGTCAAGCAAGATCCCTATGCCGCAACATTAATGCCGTATTCGATGAGTGGCTTTTCGATTGGATACACAAGCCTTCCGATAATGCAACTGCCAACTGTCCTCAATGAGGAGGACGATGACAATGATCGTAATGAGGATGATATGTTTTCAGTCGATACTGACCCCACCAATCAGAATCGGCGGCAGGTGAATCCCAACGAAACCTGGGGTTTCAGTCTTGCCTCGTCGCCAATGGGAATGAACTTGACCCTCCAATATGGCAGGACAATCTTTGCGAGAAAACCTCCTGAACCTCTCCGCTCCGAGTGGACTGGTGAAGGGTATTTCCCCAACAAGAACCGGAGTGACAGCGGCGCCGTACGGCTGGGGTTGCGTGCCGTTATTGGCCAGGATCTCACTTTGGGCTGGTCAGCCTCTGGGACGCGCAGGGTTGGCGGATTCACCCGCATGGGATTAACTATTTCCACAATAGGCAATATGGGACTTGGTTGCAGCATCTCATGGAGTAGACTGGGACAGACACTTAAGGTGCCCATAGCTATGTGTCCAGTGGACCAACTGACTGGCGACCTATGTATATTGGCGGTTATTGTGCCGTTCACGGTCTATTCAGCAATTGAGTTTGGATATCTGCGTCCTAGAGCTCGGCGGAGAGAAAAGCAAGAAATGGAAAAACTCAGAAAACGTCTACAAAAGAGGGTTTTGAAGCGGAAGACTGAGAGCGCACAGGCGATTTCCATGATGAGAGATCAGGTTTTGCGAAGGCAAGATCGAGAAGCTGAGCGAGATGGGTTGGTGATTGTTCATGCTGAATATGGATGTCCACCGTCTCCTTCCGCGAGGGAGAAGAAGCAGATTGGCCCTACGGCAGTCATAGATGACTACGATGAGTGCATGATAGACGTCACCATCCCGGTTGCCGCGCTGGTTGACCAAGGACAGTTGGTTATATCGCCTCGAGTTATTAAGGTCTGGATGTTATCCCATGTTCTTTTCCATCTCATAAACAAAAATACTAATGTATTAACCCATGCAGTCACAAATCATTGGATTCTATGACCCGTTCCCATTCCGCCCCAAGTTGCTGCGGGTACGCTATCAGTTCTCCGGCAAGGAGCATATGGTTGAAGCTTGGGACTCTGAAGGGATAACGTGCCCGATGAAGTCACACCTGCTCTGAAGGAATTATAGAGATTGATTTTTCTTTATTTTGTTTTTTTCCTTCTTTCTTTCTTATTTTCTTTATCGGTAACAATATTTGCTGACACTTATTCCCATGTACCGTATCTGCCCTCTAATTAAACGAGTTGAACACTAAGCGGCAACAGGCTTGCTTCTTTTGATAGGTTCCACGAGACACCAAGTGATTTCCCTTAGTGCAATTCTTCCTACTGTTCATACATGTACAACATGAACGAAAGTCCTTTGACATGCTTGAACATGAAAAAAGATAATTTTTTTCTCCTTTATATCTTTCTTCTCGGATACAAATGGCTGGGATTTGGGTAGTTGTGCCCCTCAGTCGACATAGGATCTGAGCGTTTTATTTTATTTTATTTAGTTTTTTTGGTTATTGTTATTATTTGCCCTCACCCGCCACGCCTCTCCCCACCTCGCCTCACAGATGCATTTGGTAATATATTTCCTTGTTTGAATTTTTAGCTCCTCACACAACATTCAACCGTCGAAGTTACATATTTGCCTTTTTCCATCCTTGCTCTCCACTCTGTCGGCCTATATCACACTTGGCTCTTGGAGAAAAATGTCTTTTTGAACTTTAAATGTTTTGGTTTTATTTTGCTCGTTTAATGACCATATATACCTAATCTTGACAAGCAAAAAGGTGTGTTTTGTTCGTTGCACTTGGCACGAATGCATCGGGTATGCTCACGTTCTGATAGGTGCATTATTTTCAGAACAAAAGCACGAGGAACGAAGACAGGGGAACCCAATGATATTTTATGCCATATTATATACCTTGTTCAGGTTTTCCCTGCCCGCATAAAAAATGCAAGGGTAATTTTATTTGTCTTTGATTTTTCATTTGCCTTTCTTTTTTTACCATACACTTTTTTCAGACATAAACGGCCCCAGAAGATCAGGAAGAGGCGGTATGTTATCCAGATCGTTATGTGATTTTCCCTTCGCGAAAATCTTAAAACTCGCAATTGGAAGAACTATAAAATGGATCCAAGATCCAATCACAAGTCAAGACCTTTTTACGCTTTGCTCGTCCAATTACGGCCTGGTCCGTTGCTCTCCCTGGTTGCTTTGTTGGGTTGTTATATAACTCATCGTTATAGGTCTCACAACAACAACAACAACAACAACAGCAACGAGAGCAGTGGATGAAATGACCAACAAATGGGGGCTCTCATACCGCCTTTTCGTTTTGCAAGAAGGTAATTCTTATGGATGTTCTGGACATCACCGCATTATAGCTCTGGGGTAAAACGGCTTTGGAATTGGTATGTTGGAAAGCGTCGTCTAACAAATGCCCTCGGGACTGGGAGCTCCCTGGGCGGATGTCCACTGTGACATACGGTTTGGTGGAATAAGCCCGTACGAGGGAAAATATCCATGTTCCTAGGTTCTCCTGTGAGAGAGCATGATTGTATACATAGGCACATGAAGTATTGCATCCTGATATAAGAATTCTTATGTTGCACACCCAACAGATCCTGTTCTTTCTCCTGATCACTTCCACAAGGTCGCCTCGTACGTCCCGAGTCGCATTCCAAGGTCATCCATCCCATATTCAGCACAAACTAATAACAGCTCTGGGCTCTCAGCGAATCTCTGACTTGTAACGTTTTATCCCGTTCCCCTCACTTGGTCCTCAATTTTCATCTTTCTACAAGGAACCCCTTCCCATTCTCATCGGCCCTCTCCTCTCCTCTTCTTGCTCTTGATTTTTCAACTCTCTACTCTTTATTCAACTTCCCATACCACTCGTTTCCAGCCAATATAGAACTTGACTCTTCCTAACCGCCTCCAGCAAATTGCCCAAGATGTGCCTCTGCTGGGGTACGCCCTACAAGGCGTTTATGATCGAGGGTCCCAAGAAGGAGAAAGAGAAAGAGAAGGAGAAGGCGAAGGAGAAGGAGGAGAAGAAAGATGAGAACGTGCAGTTCTATCTGGTGCAGCCCGGAGACCAGTTTGTTCCTGTTTCTGTAAGTGTAATTATATATCCTACTCTTCTTGAGAGCGATTGGACTCCGTTCACTCTGTATTTGGGGGTATATTTGTATATTCTACCCTTCGCTGCATACGTGGTCTTCCAGTTACTTGTCAGGTGGCCCTGTCTCCTCTTCCATCTCTCTCTTCTTCTTCTTGCCTCCTATCCCTTTTCCCTATTTCTCCTTTCCCTTCCGATACGCTTCACGCCACCCATCTACCTTACTTCATACTTCCTGACTCGATCTACCTCCACTGTCTCACCTTATTCCCATCAGCCCTTCGTCGTCTGTTTTCATCACCATCTCCAATCTTTCCCGCTTCTCATCTACATACGGCTGATTGGCCGCCCTTGCGTATCGTCTCTACCTCTGTACCTCTCTACCCTCCCTGAATCACCGCTCTCTTGCAGAGATGGCAGCGTTCTATTTCACCACCGCCATAACCCAGCAACAGCAGCCTTCCCAGCCCACCGTCTACACCTACATCCCTCTCCAGAATCCCGCCCATCCACACTACGCTGCGGCTCAAGCTGCCAACCCCTATCCTGGCAATGTCATTGGGAACCATAGCATGGGCCAAGGAAATAATAACCCTGATGCAGCACCCGTTGCTGCAACTATTCAGGTTGTTATGGTCCCTGTTGTTGCCCTGTTCCTTCTCTTCTCTTCTCACTCTCTTTTTCTTTTTGTTTTCATCCTCTTCCCTATTTTTGGTTTTATCCTCTGCATTGCCCTTTTTCCATCTCTCTCGCTCTCTTAAACCCACCTTTGCCACGAAATACAAACACAAACTAACCCATATTCATCCTAACCAGCAAGGACAAACCGCAGTCAATCCCGCCCAAGTCATACCCTGGCCTCAGCAGCAAGTTGCCGTGGTCACCCCTCAACCACAACAATTTGTAGGATGGGCCGCCCCTGGCGCTGCTGCTCCACAGCAGCAGGTATGGTTTGCGCCCAACCCCCAGCAGCTCCAGGCACAGAAAGAAACCGCTGCAGAGGCCAAAGGAACTAATGTCCCATGCCAGCTGATTCCCTATCACCCCAAAACCGGCCAGACTTGGTGGGTGCGTCACCTCGACGGGACCTGGGCTCAACGGACTACCACTGACATTCACACTAAGCTCCATGGCCAGTGGCGAACCTCGAACCAAGGGGTTCCATATTTTGAAATTTTGGCCAAGTTTGGGTCATAAATTGAAAATGGGAGGAAGATGATAATGACGTGTGTGTTCTGATATCGGCTGGCGGGCGAATGTTGGTTTTGGGTAAAATTTTAGGATTCTTTTCATCTCTTTGGTAATTTCGATCTCCTCTAGTATCTGAGGTTTTAATGTAGAACGTGCTACCAACCCCTCTCTGAGAAAGAATTTCTTTCTACCTCACTATGTTGTTCTTTTCTGGTGATTCCCCATGGATTTGATATGCACGGGGCATCGTTACCACCGATGGCAATGAACACAATGTCAACATGGCCACCCGACAATAGTCACGGAGCAAGTCCCATGGAAAGACAAGAGAAACATGCCTCTACCAACCAATTCCGATTTCTCTTTTTTTTTCAGCTTTTTCATCGCTGAGGGTGTGGGTGTGACGAATGCGGATATGTAAGGCACGCAGGACGGGCTAGGTGGATTCTGATAATCGATGCAATTTTCCTTTTGTTCCTCATTTCACTCTCCATTCTTTACCTACTTATTTTTCGTTTTTGATTTACATCCGTGTTTCGATTCAAACCCCTGTATCCAGACCCACCGTCACCATTCCTTTGCATGACGTCGATGAAATTAATTTCTTGTATTGTGTAGTTTCTCTTGTTTCTCTTGCAATTTTACCTCCCCAAACAATATTTTTCCCTTTTTCCCCCTTTTCTTAATCGTTACTTTATCTTTTTTTTACTTTCCCTTTCTTTATCCCGTCTTTGATAAGATTTCAAAAAACATTCCAAAGTCCCCATTGAGATTCCCTTGTTTGTCAGTAGGAACAAGGCTGAAGGATAGGTGGAAGGCCTGAGCTGCATGATAAATTGAAAGTTTATCAAACGAACTTTAGCGTTTATAATTATGAGTGCGACAGCGGAATTTCCGTGCCAGTTTTGTTTTGCAAGTTTTCCACGAGATATGGAGATACGGGACCAGGACATGGAGGAAAAGAAGAACACCATAATATAGTAGTTGCACTAAACGAAGATGGAAATGCTATGCATTCTCACTTCAAAATAGTTGGACTTCTACGGGTATGGATCAACATGGATGCTCACAGTATTATTCACAGGGGATGTGTGTGTATTGATTTGGAGATATTCTCGAAACTACTTATTACATTGCCTTGCCAAAAGTTTGATCTTTTTCACAGACTTGAAGTTTTTCAAGAAGCTTATGCTGTACACTTATCGATGGTACTCAGTTTGTCAAAAAGTTTCAAACTTTTGGCATGACAATGTAATAGCTTCGTAGGTACAGTACATATCGAAAACTGCTTCCGAACCTTGATAGGTGAATAAGGTTGATAGAGCGGCTAAAGCGTCTGATTAGCGGCTAATGGACCAATTATGGTTTAGTTTATGCGTCTATTAATAATCCCGGATCTTATGGCGTCAAAAAACTCTCGGCCTCCTTAAACTGGCCAATACAAGTACCCTCAGAACCTTTTGCGAACAACGACATCCCCTCCTCTCTAACAGCTCGTGCTTGATTTTCTGTCAGTCAGTTTTCCATGGCTACTTCTATTGCTCAGGGGCTTTTCAAGTCTCTGCCAAAGCCAAAATACACAGGGGAAGACGAAGAACTACCGCCACATGCCCAGCCCAAAGGTCCGCGAATCGTGGGGCCTGGTGCTGTCAACGAGTCGCAAGTTGTCCTGAGAGTACGCAGACATCTTCCCTTCTTCGATTTGTTTTAATGAATGTCTGGTAGTTACTAATGTTTCCTCCTCCTTCGACTATAGGTAGCTGGCCCGCCTCCGTATGGCAAACGTACAGGATGGCGACCACGAAACCCCGAAGACTTTGCAAATGGCGGTGCGTTTCCTGAAATCCCCGTAGCGCAATACCCCCTCGATATGGGCCGAAAAGGTTCCTCGTCGAAATCAAACGCTTTAGCGGTACAGGTCGACGCGGAAGGGAAAGTTAAATATGATGCTATTGCGAAACAAGGGCATGGGGAAAATCGGACCGTACACGCTTCATTTAAAGATCTAATACCCCTCCGCCAGCGAGTTGATATGGGTGAAATATCACTAGATCGTCCATCACAGGAAGAAGTAGCAGAGCAAATGGAAAAGACAAAAGCTGCTCTAGCAAAGCTAGTGACTGGCGCAGTCACAGCGCAGAAGCCCAAAAACGTCAAGGGTGGGAAGAGAAATGAGCCTACGTTCGTGAGATATACACCTGCAAATCAGATGGGTGATACAAGCAAAAAGAATGATAGAATCATGAAAATTGTGGAGAGGCAGGTGGATCCTATGGAGCCCCCGAAATTCAAGCACAAGAAGATTCCTCGCGGACCTCCATCCCCTCCGCCACCTGTCATGCACTCACCCCCGAGGAAGCTTACCGCGGAAGATCAGGAAGCTTGGAGAATTCCACCACCTGTTTCGAACTGGAAAAACCCCAGAGGGTTTACAGTCCCGTTAGATAAGCGATTGGCTGCTGATGGACGAGGGTTACAGGATGTTTCTATCAATGATAAATTCGCGCAGTTTGCAGAAGCCCTATTTACAGCTGACCGGCATGCTAGAGAAGAAGTGAAGCAACGGGCACAAATGCAGCAGAAATTGGCAGAGAAGGAGAAGGCGCAGAAAGAAGAGCATCTTCGTCAACTGGCTCAAAAGGCACGTGAAGCAAGGTCAGCTGGAGCGAGTCGTCAAGAATCCAGAGCACGATCCCGATCTATCATGGGAAGCCGTAGTCACTCTCCATATTCATCCCGATCGGCCTCACCCAGCGAAGATGAAGAAGCTGTCCGAGAACGTGAACGACGGCGTCGACAACAGAGACAAGAAGACGAACGCCAGCTTCGCCAATCCCGCATGGGCGCTGAGCGGCGTATCCAGATGATGGCACGAGAACAGAATCGTGATATCTCAGAAAAAGTCGCTCTTGGTCTTGCAAAGCCAACACAGAGTAAAGAGACGATGTATGACTCCCGGCTGTTTAATCAGACGAGCGGGTTTGATAGTGGATTCAACGAAGATCAGCCCTACGATAAACCCCTTTTTGCTGCGCAGGATGCCATCAATAGCATTTATCGTCCTCGAGCGCAGGGAGATGATTTTGATGATGAAGAGTCGGCGGGGGCGGAGATGAGTCGGATCGAGCGCAATAACCGTTTTGAAGTCCTGGGTCGCGCAAAGCAGGGCTTCAAGGGTGCAGCAGATGCAGAGGTGAGATATTGGACTCTCCCTTTCCATACGGGCATTGTTTTTTAGCCGGAACATAACAATGTCTACCCTTTTCTTGAAGACCCTTATTTAAACACCGAACTACTTTTCACTTCCATCAATTATATAACTAACACCTACGTCCCTTATAGGCTCGAGATGGGCCCGTCCAATTCGAAAAAGATACCACTGATCCATTTGGAATCGATGGGATGATTGCTGAAGTTACTGGGGCGGGTAGGCAGAAGCGCTACGGCATTCAAGAAGCTGAAGGCACAAATGAGCGTGGATCGAAACGTGCCCGTGTAGACGATGATGATGAACATGATCGAAGGAAATAGAAATTGAGCCTTGTTTCTTTAAGGGGAGGGGGGAGAAAAAAATGTTACTCTGGATGTTCTTTTCTCGCACTCACTCGCCCGTTTCCGCTCTACGCTCTGCGTTAGTCAGTTTAGGCTTGCCTTGTGCATGTTTTTCTACTTTGTACAGGATCTGGTATTTCCCTGGCGTTTAATCACTTTTCCCCCACCAGACTTCAAATTTCAAACTTCAATTCTGGTTTCTGTTAGCGGACTTATGGAAATGGTTATATATGGTTACAATTTTATGGTCATTGTCTTGGTCCTACCTACGTCTGGCATAGCTTTAACTTCTCATCCCGCGCTGCATTTAGAGAACGCTTGTTAAATAGATATTGTAGTAATTATTCATTAACCCTTTTAATCCGCTTCTGGTCCCAGGTGTCTTTGAATGCTCCCCCTCCGTTGTGTCTTGGATGTTAGTACTATTTACGTACGAAGAGGACACTCCTCGATACGGAGTTATCAATCATTCCAACTGCATGTCCAGTAAGTCATTATTTTCCGAGTATCCAACTTTTTCCTAACTCTATGCTTTTCCCCAAGTCCGTAAACTCCGAACCCAAAGAGAGAAAAACGAAATATTAACAACCTCATATGCATGGGGAAATAAAGAAATACAGAGAGATATATCGTCACATAATGTGATATATTCATAGGACGGTATTCATTAACAAACTTAAAAGGAAAAAAAATTATTGCCCAAAACACTTCTCAATTAATCCAATCCCATCCACTCCCCTTCTCCATCATCGCCATCTCCAACATCACTCATATCCGCAACTCCATCTACACCATTCTCCTTCACCACTGCCACCACCCCATTCACTCCAGTCTTCTCCGCCTTCCCACTCAAAACAGGCTTCAAAAGCAAATACTCCAACGCATACCCATTCCCCTCGACAAGCCGCTTAATTTCATCGCGAATCCCATCAACCACCCGGCTGACGGCGCGCAACTCCGTCGCCAACTCGCCTCCATGTTCCTTGAAATAGCGACCGTGGATACTTAGCAGCGCCTCGATCCAACGCAGGTTAAATTCCAGATGTGGTGTCTCGTCTGCCCAGCTGGCGACGAAGCGGAGCATGCGGGGGAGGTAGATGGTGGGTATTGAGGCGGTTATAAGGCGGATGTCAGAGGGTGGGATGGATTCGTAGACTTTGCGGATTAGGGGGGCTTCGTTGAGGCGGAAGGCCATGATGAGGGGTTTTAGGAAGGATGTGGATGTTTGGGAAGTCTGCATCGGGTTGGATGTGGTTGTTGTTGTTGTTGTCAGGGAGGTGGAAGATGTGGAGGTAGAGGTTGCCTTGGCTTCAGCGAGGGTTTCGAGGATGCTGTCGGGTGTGATGGAGAGATCGAGGTCGAAGGGATCGAAGATGAAGGTTGTGTCCAGGCTGTAGACTAGCAGACCTTCTGTTGACGAGGCACAGAAGGACTGTCCTGTTGGAGAGAATGCAACGGATGTAACTCGAACTTCGGGGCGGGTGGTGCGTGCACCTGCATCACCTCCGCGACGGGCTCCGGGTAGACGTTTGTCAATGCGATCTTCTAGATCTGACGCTTCACCCGTCTCATCTACGAGACCACGCGGGCCAGCTTCAGTCATGTCCTTGCTGTTGAGGAACTCCTGTGTGCCGTCGAGAGAGGTGTTCACGGAGACGGTGAATTTTTTGCAGAGTGAGCCGGTGCTGACGTCGTAGAGGCAGATGTATTTGCTATTTCCTGCGGCGAGCAAACAACTTCCATCTGCTGAGTAAGTTATAGTGTTAAATGACTTGGTGCCAGCGGCGTTCGCTGCTGTGCGGCGGTCTGATATTTTACGACCTCCCGATACGTCTCGTCGACCATCTATTCCACCCACTTGAACAGCGTCATCAACTGACCAGAATGTCAATTGACCATCGAGAGTAGATGCAGCAATTTGTTTCCCATCCGGACGGAAGGCAACGCTAAGAAGATCAGCCTGTAATTCCAGCGGTTCACTGGTTTGGCTACGGCCAAATATGCTCCATACACGGACCGTGTGATCCCAACTACCGCTCACTAGATGGCTTCCATCTGAAGCAAATGATAGTGATGATACAGGTCCCTGGTGGCCAGAGAGCTGATCTAAAAGCTGGCCCGTCTGAACAGACCAAATGTGAACGTCAAATGAGTCCAAAGAGCCAGCGCATACTACTTCACCACTGGGATCTACTGCCAAACAAGAGAATGATAATCTCGACGGGGCAGTGAATGTTCTGAAATTACGATATCGAATAAGATCCCAAGCTCTGATTGAGCCATCCAACGACGCGGTAAATAGAACGTTTCCTCTTTTCGAGAACTGACAGGCAGTAACGCCACTAGTGTGCTCCGTAAATGTGACGATACAGAATCCGGAATTTATATCCCACACTTTGATTTTCCCGTCATCTGCGGCAGTTATGATCTTCTGCCCATCTGGGGAATACACAAGAGAGTTTATCGAGTCTAAATGGCCTTGCTGTTTCAGAATATATGACTCGGATTGCCATTCCCACACCAACAGCTGGCCTAGTTTCGGAGACCCAAATGCGATCCACTCCCCAGAGTTGTTCATCGTCACAAAATCGATATTGCTTTGCGAGACACTGGTGATAGCTGGTAAGCATGAAATCAAGCCGTGCGAAATGCGCCCAAACATACCTAAGCATATGTATTTGGTTAAACTCTGGTAGCTCATAAAGTCCAAAGAGCCCATTGGAGAAGCCGGCGACCAGGAGGTTGGAACGTGCATGGTATGCTGCACATTTCACCTTTGCATTGCTTTGCATGAAGAAGTTCTTCTTCGTTATTCTCCAACGCATTTCGGAGCTATCTACCATTTCTTCTGGATCGCTGGACTTCCCTCCATATTGCCATCGAAAAAGAGCACCATCCCTACTCACGGTGTATATCTAGATACGGAATCAGTGAATGATGGCCCAATAATACCTTTTTTCAGGTGACAAAACACCGGATCTTCCTCACCGATTCCTGATCCTCTGTAAACCAGGCATTAAGCACCCCTTCACGATGTCCCGCAAGAGTTGTCGGCTCGAACCCTTCTTCTGGATCTAAACTCCATATCCTCGCAGTTAAATCTTTCGAAGCACTGAGAAAGAACCTGGAATCACTCGACCAATGAATGTTCTGCACCACATCGAAATGTCCAGCATACTCTCTGTGTAGAACAAAGGGCGCAAACTCTAATTCACCATTGCCGTCTGCGCTAGGTGTGGAGGGGGTTTTCCACACTTGAATTCGTCGTCCAACTCCAGCAGCAAAATGGCGTCCGGAGGAGGAAAAAGCAAGAGCGGAAACTGTAGATTTAAAGGAGAAGTGGTGGATAGTGATTCGGCGCAGAAAATTGGTCAAGATAGCTTTTCCATGTTCATCAACGGAGAGGAGGAGGTTGCCCCGGGGAGAGAGAGCTATACGGGCGATATTTGTACGGTGTGCAAATGGGAGAGTATATGATTTATTGCTATTATAACAGCGCAATTAGCCATAATGCATCCTCCAATAGCTCTAAAAGGGGTGCAAGGTGCCATACTGCACAAGGTCGAAAACCGTCACTCTATTGCCAACAGGGGAGAGCAAGCAGTGTCCGTCCGGGGTGAAGACGAGGTTTCCTCTACGATAGACGGTCCCCAGAAGATTAGAAAACTAGAACAACAGTTAGAAACAGATAGCAGACGGGAAGACAGAGTTCCAACGCACCTTGAAATCCGTCTTCATCGTCCTCAGCGTAATCACCGTTGTCGCATTTTTTGTCAAAGGAAAATGAATGCGACCCCCCAAAAAAATATCTCGAAATCCCGGCCAAACTTTGGCGCCGACATAATCCAAATGCGCTAACGTGTTTCTGGCCTAGCGTAATGCAAGAGAGTTGTTACTGGCTTGGCACATTTTAAGTTTCAGGGGCTGAAAAGTACAAGAGAAGACAACGACATGCTTCAAATTATCAACAACTTCTTTAACAACTTCGACAACGTCAACAACACTCCGGACCCCTGATATACCAACCTGTTTGAACAAACATTCCGTTTTTCTACTTGGTAGAGAGCACTGTATTTGTTGCTTGTTCAGTTCCAGCTTCTATCACTTCCTGCAGTTTCATCCAGAGGAGGCACGCTTTAGCAATGGCTCCCCCAACATCAGAGACGGCTTCTCCTATTGGAATTGCCAACGTAAGTTACATCAACCCCCGATTACTGGTGACTGCCTAACTGACCTGCCGGCGTTTATATAGCTCCCAAATCAACGGTATGCCTTGACATCTCCCATATCCCCTCGCGTGGGGTTCAATTGCGGGAGATTGGATATGCTGACAGAACTACAGGCACAAAATCGTCGCCAAACGGGGGGCTGCTTTCACTATTATGGTACAATTCGATCCCTCATCATTACTCCTGCTTTCGTCTATAGTAACGTGAGGTATAGGTTGCTGGAGAGTCCGGATTGGGCAAAACCACATTCATCAATACCCTCTTCTCGACCACTATCAAGAACTACGCCGACCACAAGCGTCGACATGCCAAGCAGGTCGATAAGACTGTGGAGATTGAGATTACAAAGGCTGAGCTGGAGGAGAAGTTTTTCAAAGGTATCAATTGCACCGGAAATGCTCTTTGTGTGAAGCCAGAGTTGCTAATTGATTATGTGTTCGATTTCCAGTTCGATTGACTGTCATCGACACCCCCGGCTTTGGTGACTATGTCAACAACCGCGACTCGTGGATGCCCATTATCGAGTTCCTTGATGACCAGCACGAATCCTACATGCTTCAGGAGCAGCAGCCCCGTCGTGTTGACAAGATTGATCTCCGGGTCCACGCCTGTCTGTACTTCATCAGGCCCACTGGCCATACCCTGAAACCTCTGGATATCGAGGTCATGAAACGTCTTAGCTCCCGTGTCAATTTGATCCCAGTCGTTGCCAAAGCCGATACTCTCAGCCCATCCGACCTTGCCCGATTCAAGCAGCGCGTAAGAATATCCTTGCACTCTCTCATAAACTGGTGCAGTGTTCGTCCAAGCTGATGATTATTTTGCAGATCCGCGGGGTTATCGAAGCACAAGGTATTAAAATCTATCAGCCACCCGTTGAAGAGGACGATGAGCACGCTGCTCAGCATGCCCGTAGCTTAATGGCTGCCATGCCATTCTCTGTCATTGGCTCCGAGAAAGATGTCAAGACCGGTGACGGCCGCATCGTCAAAGGGCGACAGTATGCTTGGGGTGTAGCTGAGGTCGAGAACGAAGAGCATTGTGATTTCAAGAAACTGCGTTCCATTCTTATCCGTACCCACATGCTTGATCTTATCCACACTACCGAAGAATCCCACTACGAGGCCTATCGTGCCCTGCAAATGGAGACCAGAAAGTTTGGCGAGGCACGTCCGAGGAAGCTTGACAACCCCAAGTTCAAGGAGGAAGAAGAGAACCTTAGAAAGCGGTTCACTGAACAAGTCAAAATCGAAGAACAGCGATTCAGACAGTGGGAGCAGAAGCTCATCTCGGAGAGAGATCGTCTCAACAAGGATTTGGAAAGCACTCATGCTGCGTATGTTCATCCTACTTCCATCAATTTTAGTTACGTCGTGCCCATTCTAACCTCGAACAGTATCAAGCAACTCGAGCAGGAGCTCGAGACAATGCAGGGATCTGCTGTTCGCAGTCATGGTCGCCGTTAGGTGTTGGATTGAGCATTTTGACGTTGTGTCTATTGCGCAGGAGATGGACGGGTTTCGAATGTAGTAGTTCTTCCTCCAGCCCTGGCCGGCCTGATCCAAAATTGTCGATCCGAACAATTCTCATTTTACATTTGGCAAGAAGGCGACTATTCTAGGATTGCTTTTCGTTTCTTTTCTCCTTTCTCTTTCTTCTCACGCTTGTTCCCTGTTTCGTTCACATCTCACTGGTACCTAGCGTATTCCCCTCTGAACCCGACAATAGTCTCCTCTGTTATATGTAGCGGTTTTTTTTTAGTACCTTATTTCCTGAAATATCCAGCTTTAATTCTACAAGACTTTTCTTATTTACAATTTTGTTCCTTGATTTAACTGGGTTGATTGTAATTCTATGGTGTCGTATCCCGCTAGCCGTTGCTCCTCTCACATTAGCCGTGCCCCTCTCCCGCGGGCCCAATACAAGCTTCAACAGCTCCGACCCACTAACTACATCACCACCAACTTGTACAAAGTCCAACAGAAAACAAACACCGCAGTAATCAGATGCCGCCAACTCAAAAATTCCCAACCTACCGCCTCCACACATTAAAAACTCACAATGGTACTCGTATAAAACCTGCATTTTAAACCATGTGCCCTCTCGATCACGCAATACACTCCAATAACCACCCTCCCAACCAACCTTAAGAGGAGAGAAAAAAATGCTAACAACCTCCCAGGCCCCGTAAACGCCATCTGCTTCTCCAGCTCCCCAGGCACATACCTCTTAACCGGCTCCTCAGACCGCTCAATCCATCTCTGCCGCGCCCTCCCACCCTCCTCCACCACCGTCCCCGCCACAACACCCATCACCACCAGTCCGATCCAACGGTACGCGAAGCATGGCTACTCCGTGCTCGACCTTGCGGTAACGGCGGACAATGCACGGTTTGCGAGTGTGGGTGGGGACAAGCAGGTGTTTTTATGGGATGTGGAGACGGGGACAACGGTGCGGAGATGGAGTGGGCATGATGCGCGGGTTGAGGCGGTCGAGTTTGGGGGAGAGATGGATACGATTGTTGCTAGTGGTAGGTCTTTTCTTCTTTGGGTGTTTTGAGGTTTCAAAAAGTATATCTATATCAAAAGATTGCGTGGGAGTTAGTTGGCTTAAGGAACTCTGGTGGAGGGTAGTGATGGGGAGACGAGAATTGGATCTCTCGAGGCGCAATCGAGATCAACGTATGTGATATCTACCTGGATACTGCATCAGGGAACCATTCGCGAAGCAGATTAAATATTACTTCTGGATTGGGTGGAAATATTTAGATTTTCTACCGTTCAAACACTCTAAAGATTATCGGCACCATACACCTCATTTACAATATCTTGCGAAAAAAATCCCCAACAAACCACCCATCAATTTGATATCTAAGCTCAAGTAACTAACAATCTCAAACCTCGGCACACAGGAAGTGCTGACACAACGCTAAGGCTTTGGGACACACGCTCCCTAACCTCAAAACCCATCCAAACTCTCTCCGAGGCCCACGACACCATCTCCTCCCTCTACGTCCACATGCCTACCGCCAGCATAATATCCGGCAGCTACGACGGGCGAATACGCAGCTACGATTTGCGCATGGGCGTGGTGAATGTGGACGTCATGGGCCACGAGATCACGAGCGTGCGCTGCTCTGAGGACGGCAATGCTGTGCTGGCCTCATGTCTGGATGGGTGGATTCGGATGGTTGATAGGACAGATGGAAGTGTGTTGAAGGCATTTGGGGGTGGGGGAACTCATGCTAGTGCTGTATCTGCTGAGCAAGAGGGAGCACTTGCAGGTGCTGCTGCTGGTGCTACTCCTGCTGCTGTCGAGGACGGAGGACCGCGATATGTCAACAGCTCGCTGCGGATAAGATCTTCGTTTGCGAAAGGGGATGCCGTGGTGTTTAGCGGTGGGGAGACGGATGAGAATCAGCATCCCGCTACCGTCGAGAGTCATGTGTTTGCGTGGGATGTCTTGTCGGGAGACGTCATTGCGAAAGTGAGTGTGGGCAGAGGGGTTAAGGCGGTCAGTTGCGTGGCGTGGAATGAGAAAGGAGGATGTTGGGCTGGTGGGTGTTCAGACGGTAAATTCTTCTCTCTCCGCCTTGTTGATATCGTGCGTTGGTCTGCTCTGTATGTCGGGATTTACGGCTACCCAAGGGGAGGCTTTTGATATCATCCGCTTTCTAACTCTAGTTTATGTTTAATAGGGACCGTGCAAGTTTTCGGATGACATTCACATTGCTATATGCTCTCTCGCTTTTCCATCCGTATTTTATCAATATCAATTCTTACGTTGTGATGACCAATATCATCATCTCACTATTTTCGTTCACCGTTTGCTCATCTTCCCTTCTATGAAACTTGGTCTCCAACCCAAAGTATTATCGTTCATGTATGTAGTTCCGTGTGGCAATGAGCTAGTCACTTTAATATATGATTCAAAATAATATCTAAAGCAGTGCTTCCTAGATATGGTCAAGTAAAACATAGAGAAAAGCTACATTCAATATTCTTCATGGATTATCACGCTGGTTGACAGTGGATGGTGGACGAAAGAGATGTCACATACTTTCTACTATCAACACTTCAGAGGAAAGACGGACTGGACGCCTGACGTTACCATTCTCTTTAGAGAGATTTAAACCAGATCGCAATGAGTCTGGTGAAATGAATGCGGAATGGAGGCGATAGTTGGGATGAGCCAAGATACACTGCGTACTTAATTGATACATAGATAGTTAGGTATATATATCCACATTTGTATAGTAATAGATCAGGGAGAGATTGGCATTCTCTTCATTAGGTATTTCAATGGCTTTAAATCAATCCTGCACATGAAGTTAATAGCAGATGCAGCGTCACAATTGAAAAAATATGTTAATTGGACACCCATAGTACTTTTATTTTTCCTTGTCCTCTGACCATGCTTTGCATGGCCCCCTTTATTTATTCAACAGGTTGCTCAAAGACACACTCCACATTTTTTTCCAACCCAAAATATATAGGAACCTAAATATATCTTTGCTCATCATCCATTTCATTCATTCTCTACCCACACTCATCAAGACAACAAGATATGTTCCATCCAACTCCCCCTCACAAACAATCATGATACAAGAAGAACGTCCTAAACTCAATTCGATTCCCCGCTCTCCGCATCCAACGACGCAATTGCCTTCTCCAACTCCCTCTCACCAACAATAACAGTCCCTGCCCTCGCGGTACTCAGGAAACTGATATCTACAACATCTGGGTACGAGGCGTCCGGGTCTCTAGGAAGCCGATAGAGCTGCTCCTGCTCCTGCTCCTGCTCCTGCTCCTGCTCCTGCTCCTGCTTCTGCTTCTGCTTCTGCTTCTGCTGCTGTTTCTGTTTCTGTTTCTGCTTCTGCTTCTGCTTCTGCGCCAGCAACAATGCTGATGCCTTCAACTTTGATCCGGCAGAGCCAATCGTCGGAATATCTATGCCACCACTCGCGCCCTCGTTTTCGCTGTCGCTGCTATGCGTATGTAGTCGGCTCTGCGTTGCAGTCGCCAGTCGACTAGCGACGCCACAAACGATACCGGTAGCTTCGAGTGGGAGATCGCGCAGGTCTAGCATGATAGGAATGAGGACGTCGACCTTTGAGCCTAGGAGGAGATTATTGCCGTCCTCGAGAGAATAGTCGCCATGCTGGTCATAGGAGATTGAGCAGATGGGGTCGAGAGAAAAGCGAGGCAGGAGGCGCTTTTCAAGCAAGATGGATGGGGAGGGATCGGTGGCGGTTAGGGTGAGTGAGAGAAAGCGGGGGTTATCGAGGATTAAGGTTGTGACGAGGCTGGGACGGAGGGTTGAGGTGGATGAGGGGTGGGGTGATGAATATTTGGCTGCGCATTGGACGATGCGGAGGGACTTGTCGACACGGGCGTGTATGTTGTGTTTTCGTAGGGAGGCAAAGGTTCGGGTTTGCAGTTCTGATAGACTTGATGGGGACGGGGTTTTTGTCGTCGATGGTTTTGTGTTTAGGGATGACTGGGAGCTCCGGTATTGTGGGTTATTACTACTGTTGACGAAAGCGTCTGTGGAGACTTCAAAGCTGAAGCCACGGTTCTCGAGAGCCTGGATTACATGACCTTTTGAACGCTGGGGGACGAGAATATAGTCGGAGAAATAGGTTGAGATGAAGAAGATTGATCTTTATTTTTATCAGATAAGAGAAGTCGTTAGGGGTTCAATTAGATATAAACTTACATCCCCGCCATTGCAAGAGGGCTGGTCAGCTCCAAAACTCTTTGACCTGCATCTAACCCCTGACCGTCAACTTGCATAGCGATGAAATCATCTTTACTTATAGAAACGTGGTTTGCCCTGGAGGGTTCATTTTTATTGAACTTTTCTGCTAGAGGCCGGAAATACAATTCAGCCAGCTCTCTCGAGCAAACAATCGAACATTCGACTGGAGTAATGGAAAAGTTAAAGAAGGCGGGTTTTTCAGGTTCGGAGATATTGAGGTCCAGCACGTCAAGTTCGTTCCGGTTTCTGTCTTCGATAGGGGGTAAATCGTGGAAGATAAGCTGCAGTATTGGCTTCAGAAAGAAAGTGTAGAAATCAATAGGAATGTGAATGAGTGCGAGGCGGTCGTTCTAAATCCCGATTTCCAATGTCAGTGATGCGGCTGGCTTTGCATAATCAAGACCAAAGATAGTACGGGCTAATTCCACGAAGATATTCCACATAGCGTTAGGCCAATGGTTCGCTCATTCCAAGATACAATAAGCATCGAGGGTGGTGCTCCTAGACGGGGGCAGAGGGGGAAAGTGGGATATTGGGAGGGAGGTCATGATATTCGACACGCCTGCAACTTACCAAGAACCGAACTTTAGCAGAGAAGAGAGACAGTGACCGGGACATGGTGACGACCATGTTTATGGTCTGATCACCCTGTCCGCTTAGGCTGGTACGTAGGGGGATGTGATTGAATTTCCAAGTCGTCTAAAGCTGCTCAAGGCTTGCGGGAGACATAGTCCAAAAAAGAGATTCGTCGGTCAAGATTTCTCAAACTATGACGATATATATATAGAGTAATATGGGTTCGTCCAGTTGAAAAAATCGTAGAAGCCCAGCTTTCAAATTGAAAGCCCTGCATTCAACTGAACGATGACAGGACAGCGTGACGGAGCGCTGGCGCAAGATGTCGTGGCAGTCCCGAGATGCTTCTCGGGACTGGGGCCAACCAGGACAGTGGAGTGATATCAGGATAAGACTGAAGAACCCAGCCCAAGAACTCAGGGCAATCGTTCCGAAATTTTTTAGATAACTCCTAAGCTCTTTTAGATTGGGGTAAATCTGCCCGGTTTGTCAAACTTCTTTAAACCGTGAATCGGGCTATTTGGATGACGCAGATGAAAACGGCCAGATTGAATTGAGACAGACAGTGCAACAACAAAGCAGCGGGAATAAACCATTAACAGTGAAAAGAAATGACCGCAGAAGAGGCAGTTGAGAGGAAAGGCAGTGAAAGCCAGAATGCCTCCAGATAAATGGAAATTTTGGTGCCGAAACCGAGCAAACCAAGCACCTATCTCCGCGGTCAGAATATACACGAACCAGCAGGGGAATATGCACAAAGGAGCTGTGTCCGATACGCAACTAGCAGAAAGAGGAAAAAGAAATAGATAGGGGAGAATACGTTAAGGCTTCAATAGCATATGCGAATATCCAAAAAAAACAAAAAAAAAAAAAAAAACAGTTCTCCTTTAGATTGGGAGAGGCTGACAGGTACTTAAATCAGCAAGATTAAATAATAGCCTGCAATTAAAAGAAGGGAAAAGCTTTCAATATCTATTTCCTTAACCCTTCTAATAGCACCTCTAGTCTGCTCTTGTGTTGGGTGCCAATTTTTTTTTTAGCTTCAGTTTCTGGGTTTTTATAGAGACTGTTGGGCTCTGAAGAATACGCCAATTGCCCAATGATCGAGCAAGTCCATCCAGGGTCCGGCGTTTCTTCCTAGTTGACGTCAAGAATGATATGGAGGGGAATGATTTTTACTTCCCCCTGCCACCCTTGCTTGCCACCGAACTTGGCGAGAGATGGACGCCACAGGTACAGGTTACGGCGGAAGCGAGATTGAAGGAGACGTTATACTGAGTGTATACGCGAAGGGGAGAGCGGGAGAAAAGACAGTTGGGGACCGGCAACAACACAACGCCGGAAGAGGACAGGAAGGCCGGAATAGTTGTATGAGCTGGTTGAGACGAATCAGAGGAGGAAGATTGAAGGAGATGACAATCCTTGATCTCTCAAACAGATGCAGACGCAGAGTCGGGATGGGAAATAAGATGGAATAGAGAGACTCGACTTTATTGCTCTTCTTCTCGTAGTGTAGGGAGTAAATATAATAGCATGCAGCAGGCCAAACTATATACGGGATGAACTCACCACTCGTTGGCTGTATGGTTGTAGACAGGTATTAACTATCCTCCCCGAAGGCCATGTCGCATAATAATAATAACAACAATAACAATAATGTTTCGTAGTTACAACTTGACTAACCGGTTCAGTTGGGTGTTGTGGGGAGAACTGCCGAAAGGTGGTCGATAGACGTGTGTGCGATGGGGAGGTCGGTCAGTAACAGTCAAGATGGACACAAGACATTGAGGAGCAGGACAAAACACCGATTCAAGCTCTGTGCATCGAACTATTAATTAAACATCTCGTTAAAAATAATAGGAATCCGAGCGCGCGCGCTGTGGCAATTTATTCCCAACTAAAGCTTCCGCTCCTACAACCACAAGCAACTAAAATTAAATGAAAATAAAAATAAAATAAATAATAAATAATAAATTAAAAAAAAAAAAAAAAAAAAAAAAAAAAACCTCTGTTTTCTCTTCGCGGGTTGCACAGGTGTTGGCTTTCGCACCGTTGGAGATGCGCGAGGGGACAGGGCGGGTGAGAGACAAGAGAGTTCCCGCAGGCAAACACCATGACAGACAGCTATATTCGACGGGTTCTTCTTTTATTTTACACCTTTAGCTCAAGCTCCCCCAGCTATCTTAACTTAGTGGAAACTACCCCAGAGTTTGTTGGCTGGGGGAGGACCCAGAAACCCATTTATGATTAATGGCATCATCAGGAAGCAGAACCGTGGTACACGGCCAAAGCCAAAGTTTTCACGCCAACCTGGGGGGGGGGAAGAAAAAGGCGTCTGTCTCCTTGTGGGCTATTTCTCCTCAGACCCCGCTCCTGTGTAGGCACGCCCATTCTCGTCCTTCGAAATTGCGTGGTGTGTGATGCTATCCTTGGAAAAGTTTCCGCAGGGAATGGCCTCAGACCATTGGAGGCACGCCGTCAATTTTTCACGCCCTGCTCGCCCGCCCGCCCAATGCGCGTCCCCGTGTTTCAGAGGCTCCAGCAGCAGCATATAAGCATATCGGCAGCAGCAGAGAGGAGACAAAAGGCCATTGTACCCGCGCTGAGCGCGAAGCATTTTTGAGGAGAGCGGGGAGAGGAGTACCTGGCCCACCAGAGTTCTTATTTGCTGGTCCTAGAGGCCCCGGGAGTTGTTTTAGAAGCTTTAGTCAACTCACAGGAAACCCACCCCCTGTGCATTGGTGTAGATATTTGGGGGGATGGAGCCTAAAGTCTCCTAAAGTCTGTCCTTGTTTTCCGGATGATCATCGTTCTCTGGCGAGAGCGAAATAAAAAAAAAAATTAAATTAAAAATAAAAAAGAATAAAGAAAGAAAATGCGGGGAAAATGGGATAGTGAACCAATGCAAAATCAATCCTTCTTCTGTTCCCGACAGAGATAGGCGGGGGGATGCGCCATACTTCTCTCTCGTCGACGATAAGGCATGGGACGAGAAAGTTTTGTCAGATAACTAAAGCCTACACTAATTTCGGTGGAGCCAACCGCCTGACGGTTTCAGTCTCACAAGGCTGCGCAGCTGAACGGGGACTCAAGGCCCGAGTCTGGTGTCGGTGCTTAGGGCGAAATAAAGATGGGGGAACTGGAATCATTGTTGAGTAATATATGGATGGAATGGTTTAACTCACTGAGCTACCAAGGTTTGCCCACAGCTGTTTAGCTAGTTGATCAACGATTCCGAGATCGGTGCCGGCCGTTCATGAGAAACTTGCGTCATCATACCGCTTCGAACTATTCGGCAGCGAGCGAATTCAGGTGCCCAAACCTCCTGTGCATCCCAGGTTCAACTGCTAACTGGTTTCCTCTACTCCGTAAACCAACTGCGGTCTGTAACACCCAACCCCCCACTCAGATATCACCGTCCCTCCAATTCCCTGGCTTTTGACGGCCAGCCATCCTTACGCTTATCAGCCACTTCCGTCATTTAGTTGCATCTTCTCCAGAAACAAGCGAGATAGAGTTATTGTCTTGGAATTCTGACCCCACAAAGATCTTCCAGGAACTGTCCAAGTTTCGTCCTGCAGCTATATGTCCTTGGACGATACAACGAGCGGTTCAACTCGGAACAGAAGAGGGGCCTTTCCTGTGCCTAAGCATTTCAGTTGTCGCCCTTCAGCTCGGGGATGTGTTGAATGGTGTAGTTAACCATGGTTTTAATTAAATGCAATAACTAAATGCAACAATACAGCTCCTACACTGACCCCTAACTATGCTTCCCCCTCCAGGCGCGCACCCTGAAAGCCCTCTCCTGCAGCTCTCGCAGCTCTGCATCTCATTTCCGCATCTCGACATCGGCATTTTTGCGCCTGGAAGCGCACAGACTTGGTAAGAAGTAGTTTAACTAGCTAGTTAGTTACGCCAAACACCATGCCAAATCGTTGCTAAAGTTTTACATATTCACGTCCTTGTCTCCTTGCATTCCCGGGCATGCAAGGCATATTCGTTCCAGCCCGTTCAAAAACATTTAATATTGCAGTCAGAGGGGGAGGGGGAGGCTTCCTGTGTGATGTGCTTTTGCCTTTACATACGTACAACGCGCATATCCTACGTGTGTCGTCGTGTCAGCCCTTTTATGGACGGCTGCGAGAACCAGAACTCCACCCAACCGACTTAACAGAGATTATGCTCCGGGGGAAATTAATTAACACGAGTTGCTTTCCTTGGTGCCGCTGTATGTTATTGCATTTCCTCTGGGGTTGAACGATTAAATATTCAGTTTCAGCCTCTTTCTTTCTTTCTTGTGCGGATCTGGCTTGAGTTCCAATTTACTTCGACGTTTACATGTATATGTCATTCGAGAGTGTTCTTCTCATGTGTTCTTCTCATGTATTCGCCCCGTTCTGTGACAGGTAGAAACGGATCCAAGTTACTGCAGCGTTCCCCTTTTGGGTTCTCTGTGTTTCGTCTTTCAATATCCTGTCTAGTCAGAAGGATGGGATGATCTGCCCATGACAAGCACGCCAGACTGATATGGTATCCATCTCTGTACGGTTACGGTTCTTTTTATTTCTCAGAGAGAGATTTCCTAGTATATTCCCGACTCCGTTGATGCGTTCTTGAAGAAAAATTTTCGCTGGTTGACCGAGGCAAACGGGATCGATAAGCGTGCGTGCGGGGCATTAAATGGCATCCACAACACAACAGCGGGGCGGTGACGGGGTTCTGGTCAACAACGGGATCCTGGTTGAGAACGGGCGGTTCGTTTCTTTCCGCAAGACTCAACATATGGTAGAGTCAGTCTTCGGGATTGCTGGCTGATGTCCAGCATCTCCGCCTGCTCTCTCCGGCGTAACATTCATCTGCACAAAGGGCCTACGGATGGAGAACTACGTCAAGTCTTTCGATGCCACTTCATGACCTAAGTGGTATGCACGAATTGGAGGATACACTGTGGTAGCAAATGTGACAAGCCGTAGTAATGGATCTTTTCTCCAAGTCCGTAGTATATTTTTCTAGGAAGAGGGATAATGTACACGGTATAGCACCTGGAATAAAGAAGGGACCTATTTTACATACGTGAGCAACCTTGGAATGATAGAGAGTTCGTTCATCACCAACGAAGAAACGCACAACAAGAGCAATAATTCGACGTCTGATTTTTATTACAAAAAATAAAAATAAAAAACGTTCCCATATCATAATTGTATCACGCCCATGGCATGAAAGTATGTCATTGTCATAGCACATCACATCATCAAGATATATACACCCATCGATCCTAGTGAGCTGAAGAAACAAGAGTACCATATATATCCCTGCAATATTCCCACAGCAAAACAGACTTTTTTTGCCCTCTGCAATTCCATTGAAAAAAAAGAGCATGACAAAGAGTCAAGGAGAATCAATGCATATGCAACGACCGCAAACAATTCCATATCATATATCCTGTCAAGTAGCCATAGCGCCCTGGCCGCGATTCATACCCCTACCGCCGGCCCGTGGGGATCCACGACCGCCTCTCCCACGACCATTTCCCCGACGATCCAAGGACGACGGCGGAGGAACGTTGTTGTAAGGTCTCGGTCGGAAATTAGGGTTGTGATTCACAACATCTGCGTCTGGATCTGTTCTCTCCACCGAGACATAGCCGGCACGAGCCGGAGAACCAAATCCTTCACGTGGGGAGCCGCGTCCACGTTGAACATAGCCGTTTGGCTGCATGTTGTTGAAATTAGCACGACCGCCCCGTCCGCGGAAGCCATTTGGTTGTGGTTGGGACTGTTGCTGTTGTGGTGAGGCACTGTTTGGGTGAGTGCGAATCGGCAATGTTTGCTCCGACTGGCCGCGGCCATCACAGCCACGGAATCCTCCGTTGCCCCTAGGCCACGCACCTGGCTGTCCTACGACGGCACCGCGGAAACTGCCCCTTAGTGGCGGCGGGGTTCTAGCCTCTTTCAGCTGGCCTTTCCCATCTGGTCCGAGAGAAGCTCGGTATCCCTGGGAGGTGAGAGGCTGTTGCTGCTGTTGCTGTGATCTATTTTGTTCAGCTGAAGCACGGGTAACGGCGATAAGTTGCTTGTTGGTCAAGTTTAAGGCGGCCGATGCTGGAACGGTGGAGCCCCGGAATAGCGAACATCTGTCTCCCAGAGTTGTACCGCTCATGAAGGAGACGTCAAATACGATGTCAAGGAGCAGGGTACTGGAAGTCCTCATGAGACCAACGACAGTGCCTCTTGTGGCAATGGGGACCTTGCCAGACTCCTGCACATAGATCACCCTATCACCAAGAGAGAACGATTGGTTGCCAAGCCGATGTTCCGCATCGGATGGTTTCAATAAAGCATTCCTCGGCACGCCTCTCATCTTTTTGGGTTCTGGTTCTGGACGCGTACGGACGAGTTCATCTGCGGCGTGTTCAATGGATTTCACAAGATCTGAATCAAGTTGCTCCGCTTCCAATGGAACACGCTCGAAATTCTTCGCCTCGATAGACTTGAGCCACGCCTGAATCTCCTTGATTTTTGCAGATGCGATTTCGGCAGGATAGAAATCCGTAGCTTGGAAGCCATCACCTTGGGGTTTCCGTTGTATGCCTGCGATGAACTCGGGAAATTTGATCATGTACTGTTGGAGAAGGTTGGTCGCCTTTTCACTGAATTCCCACCCGGTCGGCCCACGGCGAGAGTATCCAAGTACCTTGAGCTTTTTCGCTTCGAATTTCAGGTTGAGGCCCAGGTTGATACGCTGACCATCCAAGATTACGGTGAACGAGGAAGTGATCTTGGCTAGTGTTAGTGGATTTAGATGTAGACTGCGAGCAATCGCGAACGATGGACTGTAAGGAGAAATCCTTTCAGCACTTCTGGTGAGATCACGACCAAATTCTGGCTCCTTGGCCTTGACCACAGAAACAAGACCACTCAATTTGCCATTTTCGTGTCCAGTAATATGTACCGGTGCACCGTAATTGTATTCACCCAAGAAGAAAGCCCTAGTTCCCTCGGGGAATTCCTCTTCAACCGGTAAAGCTTCGCGTTCGATAAAGCGGTTATCCTCACACATCACGCGGTCCACAACCAGCTGCAAAGCATAATCCGTTTCAATACCCGGAATATCAGCAAACTCCTTGACCGTAGCACCTTGGTCTGTCTTTATCAATCCTTTCAGCATCTGAACATGAACCATGGACTCGATTTCGCCAACTATCATACCAAGCCTTTTGCTGTAATATGACTCAATCTGCTCGGCCTTGCGCTTCCACTGATTCGCTTGGGAGGGCGTGTGGGGGATAGAAACGACATGCTGTTCACCGTCGACACACATGTAGTCGAAAAGTTCATCTGATACGCGAGTTACTTTGGCCTCTTGAAGGAAGGGGTAGCCAACATGGACTCGCTGACCCAGTTTCTGCTTCGCCAACTCAACGCTGGAGCGGTTTTCTGGCTCCGTAAGAGTGACGACCATGCTTTCATTACGACTTTCCTGTTGGAACACGGATACTCCATGGAAGCTTAGTTGACCGTGGTGCGGTAATGTTTTCAGGCTAGGAAATCCCGCCAATGCCTCATGTCCTAACTTGACCCCTTCCACTAGGCCAACAAAAGGTTCCAAACCATCCATTGTGGGAAGGTCGAACACATTTTCGATACAGTGACACCTGGCGATATCGGGAAACACGCCAACAAGCGAGCTGGGATAGATGTATTCGATATCTGGAGAATATGTGAATTTCAACGTAACGCCGAATTCATTTCTTGCTTTTTCTTCTGGTGTCAAAAGATGTTCTTTCGTCGCCATGGCCTTAAGCAAGCGTTTTTCCTCAATGAATGGAATTTTGACAACAGCTTCCCAGTCCATTTTTTTGCCATTCATATCAAGTTCGAAATCGCGGGGATAAAAGTCAATGATCGGGGATTCAGGAGATGTCATCAGCTCGTGGAAAGCAGCGGGGACGATTTGTTTGCTTCTATCAGGTAGAACACCCATTAACTGCTGGAAAGGGTGAAAAGGTTGTCCGAGATCGAAATTCATATCAGCTTTCAAACCAAGCTTGACATCAGATATCATCGGGGAATAGTGGTATTGATAGAACCAGGGCCACGAAGCTACTCCTCGATAATAGTAATAGAGCACCCACTGCAGACCTTGCACGTAGTTTTCGGTTAACTTGCGCATCTCCTCATGGTTATCCATCCCCCACCTGAATTTGGACTTGTAATAGTTGTTCTTCCACTCCTGGAACTTGCGTTCGTACTTCTTCTCAGCTGCCTGCTGAGCTTCTTCTGCCGTTGTTTCCTTCACCTTCGCATTTTCGTATCTTCTCATAACACGAAGAAGAGCAATCTGGCCCTCTTCCTCATTCTCGTCATCATCTTCCCCAGAGTTCCCGTTGGCTGGGTCCTCCTTGGATGGGAGCTGTACTCGTAGAAATCGATCTCCATGTTCGTTAGAGACTGTGGTCCATTGAAGATGCAAATCATCAGCCAGCTGCTCTACGAATTTGCGATCCCTTGCTGGTAGATTGGAGGAGAGGTCGAGAGGGACAGGTTTCCCTTGGTCATTAACTGGGTGATGTGAGACATATTTTTTAATTCGATTGAAAATCTGCTTCTGCGCCGGGGAAATCGTAAACTCTTTCGAGATTTGAGAGGGTTCTGGATTTCCTCTCTCTAACTCCCCGCACTTAATTTTGGATTTGATCCAGCGGGCATCCGAATATTCTGCTTCGAAGAAACGGAATTCAACATCGGATAGGGAATCAAGGAGAATCCCCAGTCGTTCCAAATTGATCGTTCCCTGCTCGTTAATATATCCTCCTAGTTTCGGTAAAACTTGTTTGTATATCTTGAACATCCAAGCCAGCGCACCCTCATTGATGTGCAAATTTGGAAGATTCGGCAAAAAGTCATTTCCAACAAAAAACGCCATCAGAATGAAATCATCGATAATCCGTTCCAGATCAAAAGGAAACTGCAAGGCATCCTCCTCCTCCAACTCCTGAAACTCCAGCTCTAGGTATTCCCTGACCATACAGAGATGCATGAGATAGAAATTCTGGTGCTCTAGCTCCTTGGACTTTTTCTGACTCTGTCTCCCAAACGTGACTTCTTCTCGAAGCAAGCAAAAATGGGGATCGTGACTCAACAGACCCAACATGATCAAATCAGCATCCAATCCGTATAAACAATGTCGTACATCTGGATGATACCCCGGCTGCGCCTTTGTCTGCCGGATATATTCCATGATCTTATGTTCTCCCTCGCCAGGAACCTCGTGGCCTGACAGAACGATCTCGACGCCCTGCCATTCCACATCCTCTGATACTTTCTTATTGATGAAATATTTCAGCTGCTGCGTCAGCTTCGCCATGAACTCGGTTCCTGGAGTTATACAATTGCTATCAAACGCTGCCTCCTTGGGCATTTCGATCCCCTGCTTAATCGCCTTCTCCTTTGCGACCTCAGCGTCATATGCGGTTCGGAATCTTCGGGCCCGTTGCTGGTTCATTTTCGCGCGGGGTGCGACTCCATCTATAGCCATAAAAAACAGCTTTTTCGGTTTGATCTTCCCATATAAATGTTCTATGTAGTTGAAAATCGCGATGAACATTTTATCCTCCGTCATGCGAAAAGTTGGTGAGTCCGAGTCCCTGTGGGTACAATTGTGGATAATACCATTCATATCGAGGTATAGACAGTCGAACTCCGGAATTCGGTTTTCTGCAATCAGCTGCGATATTGCAGGGTATCGCTCTGACATCCATCTGAAAAACTTAGGAACACCCATCCTTACGGCTTACAGGAAATGATAGAGAATAGGGAATAAAAACGAATATTGCGAAAGGGTGTGGCGTCGATAGACAATAAGAGAAGAAGCAAGAGGCAGCAACGAAATCAATCCTCATACAGGGAAATTTAAAACTGATAAAAGAACAAATAAGCTCTCCGAGCTCCGAACGAAGAGGAAAAACAGCAAAAAAGAAACGAGCAGTAAAGAAGAAACGAAGTTGTCAAACGTTGGGATTTTTCATCGTATTGCTGTTAAGTTGGGGCTATTTTTAGATCAGAGCAATTCGAGTAAGGACTGTTGAGTCACATGATATAACTTACATAAGTTGGGCCTGTTAACGTAACGTAACCAATCACTCAACTGGCCAGATCACTCAACTGGCCACCTCCCCACTGTACATTAAACAAATCTTTAAATTCCGCCACCACTATATTAAATTATCCATTAAAAAATTATATACAATTAAATCCTAGCTCTGCAAGCATCCAGGGGCTCTATGTCCAGTATTCCCACACTTGCTGCAGTGTGCTGGTGCTTGCTTTTTAGTGGGTTGATTTGAATCCTCCACTTCTCTATCCACCATCTGCTGAGCAGCCTGAGCAGTCTGAGCTCTAGCTAATCCTTCTTCTCCAGTCAGAATTCCTTCCTGATCTATGTAAACACAGCCTTGTCCTTGCTTGTGTTTCTGCTTCTCATTTGCAGCTTGTAAAGCCTTGTTCTCTTGAGTCAAAAATGCACCCCCATGCATAGCTAGTTGGCACCCCCGAACTAGTTGATCTAGAGCTTGGTTGGTAGGACTAGGCGGGCTTTGCGTACAATGCTTGATAAACTGCTTGAGCTTGTTGAATTGGCGTTCCAATTGGACAGCATTTCAGGGAGTCTTTGAGGTCCAGGAGGCCTGAGATTCATGAGATGTGCCTGGGGGACTTGGTGTATGTAGTTGATAATATAGATGTTCAAGAACCTCCTCTGCATTGAATGGCACTAAGCCTGTGGCTCTGAATCCATTCTTAATAGTCATATTCTTCAATGCCTCCTTCCTAGCAGCAGAATATAGTTCTAGGAATTCCTCCTTATCCACATGATTAATGTCAAGCCTTATGCCAGATTCAATCTGCTTGCAATATGTCTTCTTCAGAGGAACAAAGCAGCTCACATCTAGTGGCTGCAGCAGATGGGAAGAATGAGATGGCATATAGAGAGTTATAATAGCATTCTCTCTGCAGAATTGATCAAATTCAGCAGTGGCATAGCTCCCATGCTCATCCAGAATCAAGAGTCTATATCTTCCAACTGTATAAGCCTGAGTATGCTTGTTAAACACCTCTTTCAGTCATATTAGATCAAGCTGATCAGTGGTCCAGCCATTCTCACTAACCCCAATTACTCAATCTGCTGGCAGGTTTGTATACCATGAAGTCTGATATAGCTTGCCCTTGAGAATAATCATTGAAGGCAGACTCTGTCCTCTTGCATTGACTGACTCAATCACAGTCACCCATTCTCTATTTTCTGGCTGTATAAGAGATGCTTTTCCAGCTCTTTCTGACCTAGTGATCACTAAGGTTGTTGAAATAACCCTTATAAAAAAGCCAACATCATCAAAATTATATGTATCCTCAGTGTTAGGCTCAGCGTCCGACCGAGCCCGACCGAAGGCCGGTGCCCGGTTAGACCCGACGTCGGATTAAGCTCGGCGCCCGATTAGGCCTAATCCATATCACGTGACCACACGACCATGCAGGTGGTTATAATCCACGCAGGCCCCAGCACCCCCTTTCATCCCATCAAGCTTAGTATTTCGTTATATAGCAGTTAGCAACGCAGAGAGTTTCCTTCTTATGCAGCTCGCATTCGCTCCCTAACATAATACTAAGCTTCCCTTCTACCTTCTCACTCAGGTTTCAGCAGAAAACTTGAGTGCCTCAGTTGAATTAGAACCTGCTAGTTCAGAGCCTGACAACGCGTCAGATCAACTGCTAAGACAACAGCACTGTTGAAGACAACAGCTCAATCCAACATCAGATGGCCACCACAGGCTCCCAACCCCCTGGAAGGGGCCGAAAGGACTGGCGATACCTCCTAACAAGACCAACTGACCAACCACGCGTCTCAATTGAGGAATTCAGAGAGGCAATCCACTCAGACAGCGACCGTGTTTATAATGAGTTGGCGGCGATCTTTGATGGCATCTTTGACGATGAAAAAACATTAAGGGATACGATCACACGTCTGAGAATGGAATGGGACAACGTTACTAATCAGGCCGCTGTCAAGCAAAGCCAGATTGATGAGCTAATTGCTGAACGTGATGAACTTAGCCACACCCTGGTCCGCATGACAGTCAGCAACCAAGCAGCAAGTCGAGGCGTCACCCCCTCTGAGACTGCCAGGAGGTCTGTCAAGATTGATGACCCGAAACACCTCACTGACGGCAAGGAGCCGAAATTTGAACACTGGCTCTCCCGGATGAAGAACAAGCTCCGGGAGAATGCTGACCACTACCCTACTGAACGCATGAGAATAGCGTACATTGAAAACCGGACTGATGGGGACGCAGCACGTCACATTGCACCCCGTATGGAAGAGGACCACCCCGAGCAATATCAAACCGCAGAAGAGATGTTTGAGCACCTCAAGTCAATATATGAGGATGCTAACAAGCTGCAAAATGCCAAGGGTGATTATCGCAAGCTGATTATGCGCAATGGGGATAATTATCATGAATTTGTCACAAAATTTTTACACCTGGCAGGGGAGGCCAAGATTGCCAGGGGGGACTACAAGACAGACTTCAATGACAAGCTGTCCTTTGACCTCCAGAAGATGGTAGCAGTAGCCAATGCGACCACTGATACATATGCTGAGTTTCAGAAAATCTGTGCGCAGGCAGCTCACACCCTCCAGACAATCAATGCCACCCAGAAATCAAAGAGCTCGCGGGGAAATGGGCCTAATACCTTCAAACAGAACACCCTGCAGACCGCCAACAGTCAAACACCCCCCAGCATCTCTACAACAAAATCCCCTACTGTGAAGGAGGCCTTGAGCTCTCGTCCGGATATTCAGTGCTACTACTGTAAGGAAAAAGGCCACATTGCCAGGAACTGCCCTGCAAAGCAGAAGTCCCAGCAGGTGATTGCTGAGCTCACAGGGAATGATGCCCCTGAGCCTTCAGCAGATTCGGGAAAAGAGTGAGCCTGAGAGAAGACTCCACCTCAGGTAGTTCAACAGTCTGTGAGAGGTTTGAGATGAAGGACTTGATTGGGGGGAAAAGCTTTAATGTACCAATCAAATTAGCCTACAATGGAATTGCTACTTCTACAAATTCTCTTGCTGATACTGGAGCAAATGGTGCGAATTTTATTGATACCCGATATGCCATAGAATTGGCAAGATTCTTTGATAGGAAGTTTCAAGAACTCCCATTCAAATGCCGCATGAAGGGATACAATGGCGCCCCCGGCGGGGTGATAGACCGCACATTGACCCTAAACCTCTGGGTGGATGGCCGGAGATTTCAGAATGTCCCTCTGCTGGTAACAGACCTAGGCCAGCACCCTGTCATCCTGGGACGGAAGTGGTTGGCAGCACAGGATATATGGCTTGATGTTAAAAACCAACGCCTGGTTTGGCCGAGTGAACGGTCTATCCCTGAACAGGTGGCGGAGCCGATGTTGAAGATAGTACCCTGGTCAGTACTGAAGCGCCCAGACCCCAAGCCTGAGCATCAGGCGGATGTGGAACGAAGAGAGATCAAGCTGGATGAGGAGATCAGACAGGAGCATCAGGCTCAGCTCCGCAGATTGAAAGGGACCAGCTCAGTCGTGATGCCTGAGACGAGGCAGGGGCTGACCTGGGAGGAGACAGCACCACAGATGATGGATATGAACTTCATTGGGGCTGCTTCCTTCCATGGTTATATGAAGAACAAGAAGTCAACAGTCTTCATAACCAGTCTGTATGAAATTGATAAACAGCTTGAGGAGAAGCGGGGTTTAGTGGGAGCTGAGGATGAGTCTGATGAGGAGCTGATCAGCAACTTACCAGAATGGTTGAAAGGCCGGGAGGACTGCTTCTCAAAGAAAGCATCAGATGAACTGCCCCCCCTACGGAAGAATGTTGATTTTAAAATAGAGCTCCAGCCTGATGTTGACCTCACCCAGGGCATTGGACATGCGCCTCTATATAAGATGAATCTAGAGGAACTAGAGGCAGTGAAGACCTACCTTGAAGCCAACCTAGCAAAGGGTTTCGTCACCCCAAGTTCAGCCCCCTACGCCTCCCCAATCCTGATTGCCCGTAGTGGGAAGAAGTTACGATTCTGTGTTGACTTTCGCAAGCTGAATGCTATAACCAAACGAGATCAGTATCCCTTGCCCCTGATAGATGAGCTGATGGACCGACTCAATGGGGCGAAATACTTTACAAAGTTGGACATTCGGCAGGGGTTCCATCGCATCCGAATGGACCCTGAGTCTGAGGACCTGACCACCTTTAGAACCCGCTACGGGACCTATAAATATCGGGTGGTCCCCTTTGGCCTTACAAACGCCCCTGCCTGCTTTCAACGGTTTGTTAACAGTATCTTCTTTGACTACCTGGACAAGTTTATGACAGCATTCATGGATGATCTTCTAATCTATAGCAAGAATCTGGAGGAGCACAAGCAGCAGGTAAACTCAGTGCTAGACCGACTAAAGACAGCAGGTTTGCAAGCCAGCATCCAGAAATGTGAGTTTGCAGTCCAGAGGACAAAATACCTAGGGTTCATCATCAGTACAGAAGGGATTGAGGCAGACCCAGAGAAGACAGCTGCCATTGTGAGATGGCAGGCCCCCACCACAGTCAAAGGAGTCCAGTCATTCCTAGGATTTGGCAATTTCTACCGACGATTCATAAGGAACTACAGCCGAATCGCAAAGCCACTGTACCAGTTGACAAAGAAGACTATCCCATTTGTGTGGACATCAGAATGCAAATCAGCCTTTGAAAAA